CAAGCACACTTCTTTCGGTAAGATTCTGGCACTCCAGCTGTTATTCCGATCTGCTGGCCGGCTGCTTTCCATTAATCACTTCTGGCAGAAAAAAAGGTCTTCCAAAGATGTTTCACCTTTGGCCCATACTCAAATAGCAAAAAGGATGTTGCAGCATATAAGACTTGTGCCAGAAGGGATCTTCAGCCTAACCGAGACCATAATTCTGAGTTTTTTTGCCATGAGATTCCCCACAGGTCCATCCTGGAAGACTCAACAATCTTGTCAGCCACACCACATCTTAGGTTTCTATATCTAAATAGGGTGTTAGTCCTTGGTTACGCGGTCTGTGTTTGTAGCTAACTGACGAGTTAGTTCGTGCCTAGCAGAGATCTGGCAAGGCATTATCACAGGGATGATGATTAGAAGATGGTTGATGTTGCACAAGATTAAGACTTCTGTGGTTGAGAGGAAAAAAAGACGAAAAGAAATCAAGAAAATATGGATGCAAATCCAAGTAAACTTTCTTCCCTGCATTTGGGCACATTCGTGTGCAGAAATCCTTAGACAAAATTAAATTCCTCTTAGTGACTTAAAAAGGAGAAAACTTTTAAAGAACACTACATTTCACTCAACATTCAGATTAAATGTTTAAGAAAGCTGGCGCATTGATTAAGGAACCAAAACTACCTTTATTCTGCTTCTGATAAATGCCCTCAGAAACACTGATGAGTTAATTTGTCAGTGCACTCTCATTAAGCTCCATTATTTCTTACGAAGGGAGGTAAGAAAGCTTCCTTCCTAAGCCAGCATCTTTATTATGTGTCTGAGGATGAATTCTCACAGTATCTTGGAGTTTTAGATACCAGGGATCTGCATCCCAACCACCTACCGCCCCACGATCCAACTGGGTTTAAATTCCCACATCTTACCCATCTGGAGACTGGGGACCAGTACCTGATCTTAAAAGCTGAAACAAATAACTATAGTGAAAACTGTATATGCATTTAGTCTTATGTATGTGGTTTCTTAACATCAAATCAAAGAGCTGAGCCAGTTTTCTTAGGGTTCTCTAGTCTGTGCAACTCTAGGTGTAAACTATTCCTGCATCTGGTGCGGTAGCATTTATGAGGATTGGATTAGTTTGACTCTGAACACCTAGACGGGATGTGAATATGGACATCAGGTAGCCACAGGTAAGCTCAGGCTACTTGTCTTCTCATGGATATGTGCTCACCACATCACATGCTGACAGGTAAGATCTTGCGACTTCCTTTTGTGCTGCAGTGATCAGTTGTTCCTTGCCAGTTCCCCCATGCTGCAGGAAAAGCAGAGAAGGGATTTGTGCATACAAATAGCATGAGGAAAACCAAGGCCAAAATCAGTAGCCATCAGATGACATAGTCTACATCGCCACTGAAAAGCCAAAGGGAAAATTTCAAGAGTTGTGAACCATCCAACCACCATGCCAGCTAGTGCAGGCTTGAATTTAACTCAGTTGCATTTGAACATGGTAGAGATAATGCCCAAGTAGGAGCCTCTCTATGGATTTAGCTACTGGTGTAACTCTGTCTTGTAGGCAACTATTCCTGGAATAAATGTTCTGCTAAAGCTCTGGTTTTCAATTACTGCAACCCACAGCTTGGAGAAACAGCCAGATTAAGAGAAAACCAGAACAACCAAACAGAAGACCACCTTTATGAAAGGAGTCATACCACCTTTGTGAAGGAGTCATGTCAGGAACAGCCCGAGGCCTTCAGCAAGGCCTACGTTTAGCAGAGCCCATTGCAAACCACTCTCTCTCTTCCTCTGCTGTCTCCTCTTGCTTATTTAATTCAGCCTGCAGGTCAGCAAACACTTTTCTTGGTAGTTCTAGTCTCATGATTGATGGCTTATGATTGTCACATGCAGGGCTGTTATACCCCTTGGCATTCGCCAGGGTGGCTATTTTTAGTAGGCAGGACAGAAACAGAGGTAGAGCCTTCAGCTGAGTACACTGCAACCCTCTCTCTCACAGGTCGAATCACTTCTTGGCACCCTCATAAAAGCATCTCGCTAACGAACTCTTTGGCTTCCTCTTCAGAAACACCGGTATCAGCAAGCAGTTCCCCCTGTAACACACTGAAGTACTGTTGTACCCTGGGGTGAGCAGCAGCAGAGCACACCTTGCAGACATTCATCAGGGCACCATTAACTGAGGTGACATCCCCCCGAGTCAAGTCAGTATCTCACAAGAGAAGGCAGAACTTGCTAAGATGCACTGAAACCTACCGGGAAGCAAAATAAGGGCTGCAAGAATCTAGGCCTAATTTGGGCATTTACTACAATTTAGTTTGGCCAGAGCCTGATCTGGTGCAAAATAACATTTGTGGTTTTACAGAAACTCGAGCTAGTGCTTTGTGTTTTTATTGCCTTTTCTCTCCATAACTTTGGCTCGTGTTTCTAGGTCAGACTGTCACTTCCTGCAAACAATTCAGGCATGCCTCCGAAGGCCTCTCGGAGCACAGCGCTGCTATAACCCTGCACCTCAGGCAGGACAGACTCTCCTCTGCTGTCTGTGGTACCGTGAAGCACAGCTTGTGCTTACCTTGGAGCACAGGAGGATGGGGATAAGATCACTCACCTTTATTTCTGGCAGAAGACTGCACAGAACAGGTTTTGTGATGTGTAACAGTATTTATGCATGTGTAAGCAATAGCCCTATCTGGTTATTGGTTTGTACATATTTGGTATTACGAGCCTCCCTCCGGTATTAAAAAAACGCCAAAACACTGAGAAATCTTTTAAAGAGTGCTATTAGAATACAGAAGTCTTAACTTCTTAGCTTTGCCTAAAAAAAAAAAAAAAAAAAAAAACACAAAACCCTAACATCATGAAATAATTTGAATCCAAAAACTTAAGATCCGGAGAGGGACCTTATGATGAGACTTGTAACAAAATTATAAAAGCCAGCAAAATTGCAGGTTAGTTTTATCAGTCCCTGTCAGTGCTTCTGTTCATACACCAGAGAGATTCCTTAGTGGACACAGTCACCTCCTGAATACTTTTTGGTACTCCCCCAAAGGTTCATTCCCCACTCTCCTTCACAGAATCTGTGAAATGAATTGCTTTTCTCTACATTTACTGGAGATCCTACTTCAGTGCTACAGTAAGAATAGCAAATCTGTTGCCCGCTGCTGTCTCCTCTTCCTCTCTGCCCCTTTCCTTTTAGGTCTGTTGACTCCAATTACAGTATTTGAAAATATATCAGTGATTGAGAGAGACAGATTCAGTTTTGAGGACTTCATCTAGCAGAGTGAGGGGGGAAAAAGTTAATTGCTTTTTATATTTGAATTGAACGATGCTGCTTTGAAAATAAGCATTCCCTATCTCCTTTCAAATTTATCTTGCTTGCTGTAGTATGCTAGAGGTTAGATCTTAAAAATAATCTTTTGAGAAACTAATGACACTGTTAGGGAAAAAAACCTGTTACTGAATCGGCTGTCAATATTTTGCACAATTCAAATGATTACTATGAACAGTCCAGTGAGTACCTATCCTACTATCAAACTGCAGTAGTTTCGACAGCAACAGGAATTATTTTAGCATTTGACAGCTGTTTAGCAATCCAGAGACAACCAGTAATTACATGAGAACAGCGACAACAGTGACAAAATAAAAAGCAAATCAGTCATAGGTTGCTGCAGACTTAAGACCGTAGCTGTAACCTTGAGTTACTACATCACCCAGAACAGTTATTTCTCCAGAAATAGTTTGAAGTATATGCACATACTTGTAACAGATTCACATAGTACATGCCAACTATATTTTGACAGCATTACTAATTTCCATCCTGAAGGAAGAGCTCATAACACCATCACACCTATGCTTTGCTTTAAGAGATCAGTTTCAGTTAGTCCAAAGTTAGTTGTGAAAATGACAGCTCTGTGAAAGGCCAAGATTAACAATTCAATAGACATTTTGAATTATGAACATTAAATAAGACTGACACCTGCACATTTCATAGATAAGAATAAACTACTTCCTTGGAGTTCACTGAAGAGATAGGATACAATGATGTAATTAAACAGTTTGCAAATCCTAATTAATCAGGAAAGTAGTTTGTTCTGTACCCGATTTCCTTATGAGTGTTTTGGAAACAAATCTGAACAAAGTGGTCCAAGAAGGACAATCTGAAGTTGATTATCCCTGGATTCTATCTAATGGAATATTCTATCAAAAAAATATAGGCTAGTGAGAGTTGTTTTACTTGCATTTTTACACCAAACAAGCCCACCTGCATAGATTCCCTTTCATTTCTTCATTACAGATCTCAGCAACTATTTCTCTTTCTAGCTCTGGTTGTACTAGTAACCCCAAGAAGTACAAGTTACTGTGGAGGAAAAAGATTTTTTTTTATTCAAAGTTCACCTCTAAACATTATTGTAACATACTCTAGGAAGCAGGCAGATATTTTCCCTGGGAGTTTTCCCAATCTGTTTTACAACACACAAAGCACATACTTGCTTAGTTGCCTACAACACAAGCTACTGCTTCCCAGAATATTTGACCAAAGGCCACAGTAAGTACTTTGCAACTGGTACACTGAACCTTACTGCATTTGCTTCCCCTTCTTCCTTGTAATTTTTTTTTACCTGTTTTCCTTTTTGACTCTGGTCTTTAACAATTGATTTAAAAAAAAAAAAATTACACTGAGGAAGGATTTCATATTCAGGACTCTTTCTCTAAATTATTATATTGATCAAGATGTTGTAATTCAGAAGAAGGTAAACAAATACTTTCTAGCAGTTCAGCACATTGGGTTTACCTGGCTCACACTAATCAGAGAACGTTTTAGCTGGATTATATTTCAAAATTGCCATTTACAAATATGAACATATAACTACAGGATACACAGCATACCTGGCATACTGTTAAAATTTCTCCATAGGGATTGGTGCATATCCTTTCACATACCAGATGACTGAAATCTGTGACAATGTAACAAGCAGGCGAACATACAAACCCATCAGAAGAACATGTAAGTTTTCAGAAGTTAACTTTACTCTTTCACAGTTTTCCCAACAGTTTTTAAAAACGTGATTTACTGTAACACTATTCACCACCAACAGCTAGAGACACTAAATTTACCTCAGCTGAAGAGTCTTTGAAAGCCCTCGTCATACCTGAGATCTTACAAGATGGAACACATTTTCTAACTTTTTAATAACAAAGATATTTAAGTGATTTGCCAAAACAATTTACAACTGGCAAAAACATTAGGCACACTGATATATGCACTATGCAGCATGCATTTTCACACCAGTAAAACAGCTTTGGAGCAAAACAACTCTAAAACCTAGATTACTCAGGTATGCTTTTATGTTCAAAAGGTTAACAGAGATAATGAGACATCATTTTATATATAAATCAAACACTTGTCATCTTTCAAATATTTTATTTTAGTACTTTTAAATATGTTTTAATACAACAGATATATAAAACAATATATTAATTCAATCTGAGTTTAGAATCAAAACAATATTTACTTATTTACAGTACTCACTTTAAACTTCACTGCCATACCTTCTAGTCATTAGGTAATACTATTTTCTCTGTCAGAACAAAATTTAAGTAACTGTTCAGTGTGAAAAGCCATGTTTATACATCCCTGTTAAGTACCATGTACAATGCAGTTTATGGTTTCTCATATTGGACAAATTTCTCATATTTGACTGAACTGAACCGAAAGAGGAAAACTAAGTTACAATTAGTCTTTCTAACTACGCAGTCACTGGGCTAATAAGTCAGGTTACTGTGCTCCACATTTACCATCTTAAGTTCTTACACACCTATTACAAACAAGTTTTAAAAATGTGCATGCCACTGAATTACATACATAATACTCACTGCAAATTTCTTAAGATACAAATTTTAAGTACACAGGAGACTGCTATATGGAAAGTTCAGTGTTCACAATACTACAGTGTTTGAGGGGTTGTGAAGGGTTCTCTGGTGTTTTTCTTCATATAATGAACAAGGCATCAGTAGGTTCACTCCAACGGACTTTTTTTCTCCAGAAATACTGTTTAAGTTAGAATACTGGCAATGTCAAGAAACATCAGAAGTGTATCATTTGTATGAATCATCAGTGGTCTATCAATTAACCATTGACTTATAAAGTCTACATGCACAAAACAATTCAGAGGGTGAGCTGTCTCACTGCTAGGACTTCTGCCAAATATACTTCCATCTTGACAAGACTATGATGGGTTTTATAGTTAAGTTTCTATAAATGTATCCTACATTATTCAAAACACCCAGAAAAATCAATATTGTCTGTAGATTACTGCGAATTCTCACCAACTCTTCAGTAGAAACTACATGGACAGCAAAAAAAAAAAGCTATCCTAGTTAAGCTTCTGTTATACTCCAGGTCCACAAAACCCTCCTTTTTTTCCTAAGTCATCTACTATTTCTTCAAATGTATACTTAATGATTAAGACTCAGCTCCACAACAGTTTCAGTGCTTGAAAACCTAGTGGACATTCATACATCAAAAAAACTAACTAAACAGTAATGAAGAAGTGTAGCACTAAATATGCAAGCACTGCTTAAAAGCCCCAAGATGATATTAACTGTTACAAGAGACTTGTACTGATGTCTGAGTTCAACCCTTCCCTCTTTCCCTTCACTACTCTTTTTGGCACTGTATGAGACAGCCATACAGAAGTGTATAGGAACCTGTGCCTTTATCATCATTGAAAGGTTTCAGTACTTCTAAATAACCTTATTTAACATGCTTGCATCAAAAAACTCCTTTTAAAAAAAAAAAAAAAAAAATCATTTAACTGACTCTTGCTTCTTAAAGCAGCAAACTATCAAGGTTTTATTTTGATGCTTTTTTTTTTTTTTTTTTTAACTGGGTTCTGAGAATAAATCTGTTTAGTAGTAATTTCTTTGAAATTCTACTGGAATGTTTTTTTCTATAGTAGAGAGAGGAGGCAGGGAAAATCAAGGAAAACCAAAAAGAAAGTGACATTACCTATTTCCATTACTGTAGCAGTATATCATGCCATGCTTAAACTAAAGTGGTAACCCTCCCTGAAGTCAAGAATATTTAGTGACTTGCTTGAAGCATATAATTTGCTTCATCATAAGCACTATCTTTACAGGATCCAATTCTTGCTAGTCTTGAACATTAAAATACTTCAGACCTATCTACATTTCTGTACCAACACACCGGGTAAGTTACCTTGTTTGCCAGAGGACATGAAGATAATCAGCATATGTGGAAACATTCTATATCACTATTCAAAAACTGTTGGAGGAACCTTGCTTAAAGATCCTTCTGTAAGCCTTTGGGAGCATAGTCAGAATTTGCTAAAATATGCATATATGAAAGTCTAATTTCTGTATGCAGGTGTAATGTAATAAAACCCCTAGTTTAAGGGATCTTCTAGAAAGGAAAAACTAAAGGCAAAAAGTTTAGAAAAGCTATTATAAGAAGCTGTGTCATAATTTACCAAAAAAAAAAAAAAAAGGCAGGCAGTGCCTATGTGTCTATCACTTGCAGGTATGTGCATACATATCCCCAAACATAACAATAATGAAGAGCTCAAGACTATTGTCAAGTCTCAAATATTATTAGATTTGCTGGGTTACCAAAAAAATGCGACCCTCTCATTCTTTTGTATATCCAGTGTTATTCAGTTAAGACTTTTCTACTCAATTAGTCTATGCATTTTGTAGTACTCAACTAACATTAGACACTTGCACTTGCTGGCATAACACAATAATGCATTCTTTACTCAGAATTCAGATTACGTGTGCACTCCCACAGACCACAAGATGATTTTGCACAAAATAGGTGCAGTAAATTAAAGGACAGCAAAAACACTGGTGCGTGAACATAAGGAAGAAGGGCAACCCTGAACATACTTAGCATTAAATTCAAGGCCCAGCAATGCTCCGCTGCCTTTACTTAAAAGTGTCAGCAGCAGAAAAGCAGCAAAATGCTTCTAAAACACTGACTGTTTAAAAAGGAGATACAGAATTTTAAGCCTGTCAGTTTCCATCTATTTAACAATAAAGCTTACATTAACTTTACAGGTTGACCTGTGCTCTTTTGCATGTGAGATCAGATTTTATTTTCTTCTATCAACCTCAAGCCTTCCTCTTGCATGTTTATAGACAGACAAAATGAACTTCCAAAATAGATGAGGAGAATTATCCTGACAATGTTTTAATCCATTCCAATGCTCACAAAAATCAACCTCTGTGTATTACTTATCTTGAATTCAGATATTTAGCATCAAGGGAAACAGCATAAAAGAACAAGCTTCCTTTAAAAAACACTGATAGGCAATGCTGATTTAAAACATGGATTTACTGAACAGAATTTGAAAAATTAAATTAGAAGAAAGAGAGAAGCCTTATGTTTCAAAGTATATGAACTTAATTTTTTAGGAAAATAGTATTGAAATGATAGCTTTACTTCATGTAAACATTGTTACACTGGGCTGTACTTGAAAATTCTCCTGCATGTCTAAGGCGCAAAATAGGTTTTCAGTTTAGACACAGCTGTGCCAGTTAGCACCGACATGGTTCTTTTCAGAATCAACAGTTTATCAAGTTTAATTGCATACCTCTCCACATATCATAACTCAGAATACAATCCTGCACATCCTGAGAACAGATGTTTCCTAGAGATTAAAAAGTAGCATTCATAACTGTGTGTGCATTGCAAAGGCAAATACAAATTAATAGAACTCTTTGATTATAAAGTCTCAAGAGGAATGTTCAAATTGCCTTTCCAAAATCATAAAGGTAAGAACAGCAAATGAAAAGCCTAAATATTTCAGAATATTTTCTCCTTTTTCTTCTTAAGTGTAAGCATACCCCCCCCAATTTGGACGGCAAGAGCCGTCAGTCTATGGTAGGTTGCACAATGTAGTATTAAACCTACATTTTTGCTAAAAAATTGGAATGTTACAAATATAAAGGTCTACCTAATAGTACAGTGTACGTGTGCTCAATACAATTGGCAGAGATACTCTAAGATGCACAATTCCTTTGTGGAATAGAAGCTAGATTAAGTTACAAAGTAATATACTACGAAGAGTGGAAGATAATCAAGTTAGTACAGTCCAGGTTTATAAAAAGAACACAATACAGCAAGGAGTAGGTTACAAGCCTCCAAATACAAAACTGTCTTGTGAAGTTCCAAACGGATTCTCCTCCATGCAAACATAAGTACACTGTGGCCATTAAGTCTGCTTGTACCAAGCTGGAAATGCTTTGCATAACTTTCCAAGGATGACTTACACTACCTTTTGCACATACCAGCCGTTCTGAAGTTGCAGTAACCAAATTAAAAGGTCTATACCATTTTTATTATTTGCACCTTCTACCTATCAGTTTTCAATTAGCATAACTCTAAAGTCTCTACAGCCAACATTAGTATTGTCCCCTTACAAACCACCACATAAGAGATCACCGTGTGAGCCTTGCTCAGGCATTATAGACTTGAGTGTGTTGGTTTGGGGGTGTTTTGTTGTGGGTTTTTTTTGTTTTGTTTTTTGTTTTTTTTTTTCTTTTAAACAACCAAAACTCAACTGTTTATGGTACTTTTATCTTTCAGTGTACTAAATTATCAACTTAAATTAAGAACTAATCTCTTCTCATACTTGTTAGGAGAACATACACTGCGCATTTATATATATATAAACAAATATACCGTGTATATATATCCAGAGATATTCACCATATTTTTGACACCAGAGTGCTAAAACATACATCAATATGAGCACTATTTCCAATACTCACTATTATTACTTTTCCTGAAAGAGTTACTACATGCATTTTCCCCATCATTTATGGGACAGTAAGATATATGAAGATAACTGTTCTGTTTTTCCAATGTTAAAGAGCTGCTCCTAAAAAGCATGCACAAGTTTGGGTATAAAGCAATTAAAACCACACAAGAGTTATTTTGTGGCTTCAAACTCACTAAAGCTAAATTAACTTCACTTTCAGTGGATGTAGCATTTACTTTAACTTATTTATTTAAACACAAAAGGGAAAACTTCCAAGTGCTAGAACAACCATATAGACAACTGATAGACTAGACTAAATAAGCTCTCATTAAAAAGAATATCATCACTGCACAGCCACAAGGCAGACTTTCATTTTTGGCAACCTGTATGCAGACCACTTATACTGTCAATTATACTTTAAGACTCGTTACTTCACAGTTAAGAGACCCTTTTAGCAAGGACCTATACTGCTTACTTCATTATGACACAGTACTCCTCAATCTTTAAGTATACACAGAGTTTGTTTAGAAATTATGACTGCTTTAAAAGAACGTCTTCATAAAGTTCTAATTTTTTTAGTCAGTATATGTAAAGACTGGCATGTCAGGTAACGGAGATTATCTGGACCTGTAAGGGGCATGTTCTAGTCAGTACAAGCACCTATTTGAGGTTGCAGTTACATAAACATTCACATAGAACCTTACTAAGGGTAACAGTATTCTGGTTTATATTCATGTTCACTGATGGCCTTTACCAGTCCCTCCACTGTTTTCTATTTTAGCAACAAGAAAACAAAACACATCCCTGTGAAGTATGAAAAAACCCCATTTTATGGCTAAGAATCTAAGAAACAAGGCAAGGAGGAGATCACAGAGTGAAAAGTGTTACTTTACATCCCCCCCACAACTAGCCTTGTGGGATCTTAGTCATAACACTTCATAAAAATCTGAATTGACCCACATGCTCTTCAGCCAATCAATCTTTTCAGTATAGCAGGTTTTGAAAAGGGCCAGCAATACTCATTGGGAACTGTACCATTAACATTGCATTCAAAAAAAGAAAACATCGGAAACCAGATCCTTGCTCTCCTACTTTGTTGATATGCTCTAGTATTAGCCAGCGTATGGTAATACAAAAAGAGTCTTGTAGTGATATAAAAGGCAATGAATACATCTATAGAATAATGTTCATGTGCAGCCAAAATAAAGAAGATTCCAAAAAGGTTCAGGACCCAAGACAAGGTGTGCAAGAAGTTCCAGCTCCTTGGCGTATCTAGGAGAAAACAGAAAGGGACTAACATTGACTGTCTCAAAAGTCTGGGTTATTACTAAATCCAGGTTTAGACACTGCAAGTTTTTGTACAGAGTTTTCATCCAAAAATGTGATGAAGTTACTGTCTTCATCTGGAAGAGCTTTTTACATCTACAGGTCAAACAAATCCAACGAAAACAACCACACAAGTTATAAATGTCTATCACTTCATGACTTCATTTACAAATACAGCTGTTATGCTTTTCTAGATTAACAGAGCATCCTAAAATGGTTTAGGATCATGCAAAGAAGAATTCTTTGTTCAACCAACTTCTTTTAATGAAAACCATGCCTTTTCCATGTAATAACGGGAAAAATGTCATAAAGCATGCATAACACTGTTACTGCAGTCATTCCATCACAGGTGAACTCTAACTATTTATCTTAGCTTGCTACATAATGTATCAAATGACACTTTGTATTTACAGAAGGGCACTATTGTTTCATATATTCTCATCCATTATAACATCTGGTATTTTGGCTTTATGGATTATACTAAAGGTACAGCCACCTAGCCAGGTATTTTGCCTGGCAGGGGTCAGTGGCAGATACCTAGGGAAGTGTACAGGAACAGACAATCCTAAGTATCTTCCCTATATTCTCTCAGTAGCAAGCTAGAGAATCTTTCTCATTTTCTCAGCTCACATGTTCTTTCAAATGTGCCCTGTTCATCCTTCCACTAATCTAGGTGCTTCTGTTCCTTTTCTGTCTGCAAGTAAACTGTCACAAATCTGAGAAAGAGCACAGCAATCTCAGTTTGTATTTGTTTGATTAAATATTACACTCCGAACGTTTTGAGAAGGTCAAGCAGCAGATATTCTTGCTACTTAAGGACACTTAAGCATTTAGACTCTTGCACCCTTGGTCGACAGCAAGCAGTACATACTCTTAACACTTAAGAACATTTAAGTATTGACACTCTGTACTTACATTCTGTGACAAAGAAGTTCAGCATGGTCAGGACGACAGTGTGGCCACTGAACATATAATCTCCACATGTATGTACTCCAGTCAGTGTCATTCCAAAGCCACTCCATATTGCAAATGCCCGCTGGAGTTTTGCCCAAACATTGCCATACAACTAAAAGACAGCAACATTAACCTTTAGTAAGTTCCAACGCCACTGCCTGTACAGTATATCCTTAAAGTTAGCTGTACAGCACTATATATGTTTAATACTATTTATCATGTTGGGTCTTTTACTAAAATGCAGGTTAGCACATCTTTGGATTTTATTGTGGCAGAGTCACATTAGTAACTACAGTTACTAATTATATTCATCATACCTCTGATGAATACTGGAATTCAGAGCAAATATTTTGTTGCAAGTGATTTGCGTACAGAGCCTGCCATCTGCTTTTGAATACATTCAACCTCCCAATGCATTATTGTCAAGCTTCCAATATATTCAGCTCATATCTCTTCTAACTAGAATTTAGAATAAAACCATAAAACCCCATGCATGTTCTATGGGTATCCCTTATTAGAAGGGGTGAAATAATAATAATGTGGATTTTTTTTCAAAACTATGAATCCAACAGAACAAAGATGCGATTCCTCCACTTTCAGCTTTTCTTCATGAAGTTGGTATCTAATGTATACACTTCACTAATGTATTCTTTCCAGATTATATTGTGAAATATTCTGAACAGCCCTCCCCAAGTAAATATCTCCTCTCGGAAGTGGCAAGTGCTTCTAAGACCCCTAAGGATTCCTGCCTGCATAATGACAATTAACGAAGGGGCATGGAGGGGAATAGGAGAGAAACAATGCTGTTCTTACACGTGTAACATTACAGTCACAACAATCTTAATCCTATCTTAAATAAATTTTTAAAAAAGGGAAGCAGAAAAGTTATCTAAAGCATTTTAAGTTTTTACCTTTCCAGTACACTGCAAGTGCTGGCCTGGCACAGAGAGTGAGGTAACAAACATTGTAATGCAACGTAGTAAGAATACTGTCCCCATGAGGCTGCATAGCCTTCGCAGAAGTATAGATCTGGGAAAAGCAGACAGGAACTGATTGCAAAAATCCTAATACATTGTATTTTTAAATCAGGAAAGTTATGATAAAAACATTTCCCTGTACCACAACTTAATCCCATCAAGTCCCTTCATCATTGCTGCAAGCATCACAGTAAAAAAAAAAAAAAAGGTATGGTTCCACATGACAGGGTAAGACACTGCAGCAAGCTTACTGTAACCAAAAAGTACAGCTCCACTCCTCTGCAGCTACACTTGTACTAGATTTGGCACTCATACCTTCTGTTGGCAAACTGATAAAAACCAACAAACTGGTAAAAATTTAACTTAAAATATGCACGCACACAAAAGCGTTTCCTAACCTTCAGTGACAGCAAGCTGCTGGCTGGCTCAGTCACCATGGGAAAATTCATTCTCATATAATTTTCTTACATACAGAATTGTCACAGTATGAGAGTATATACTGAGAACTCTCTGAAATACATATGTTCTGAAGGAAATTACATATACATCTGGTAGAAAAGGAAATTCAGATTACTCCTTTGTAAGATTCACAAGTCACCATTCTTCATTAAAACCTCCCTAATCCATTTTAACAGAACATATTAGAAGCTTAAAAGACTCTTACTGAATGGAAAGTCTTAAACAATCATAAATTCTTGTCACAGTCCTTCCTCTCAAAGTACCAGTTAATTTGAATTTTATATACTGTACCTATGTTTGTGAAGCAGAAGAACCAACAGCCAAATGTAGCAAAGAATTACGCCACATACTTCAGTCATAGCAAAAGCCCATGGTATCCTAGGGACACTAAAAAAAACAAACACAAAAAAAAAAAAAACAAAAAACAAAAAAACAAAACAAACCGATGAACCAAGAAAGTTAACTTACAATACAAGGGCTTAAATTTTCTTTCTAGTCTCAGTATTGAAACTAAAGGCATATAAAATTCTAACTACAGAATTAGCTTGAATTAGTCTGAAAACCAAAAATTACTTTGTTAGATTGAATGAAACAGAATTTGAATTAGTTTTTAATTACATTACCTTGTTACTAATAATATATTTTCATTAGACATTTACACAGAATTCACTAAATCAAAGAAAAACTCTAGTATGCTCTCTTAATTTACATGTGTGATTTACTAACAGGATGTGTTCCTCTACCACTGTTTCCCAATAACCTTTTTCATTCTGACACAAACTTGCATCATGTCAATTATGCTGTTTATGCTTATAAGAAGACACTTCAACACAATTAATGAAATGCTGCAAAGCCTAAAATCCTAACTACTTGTAATGATGCAGAAGTGGACAGAAAAGCGTTAGGAAAAATAAAAATTATTTTCCAAGTTAGATTTCAGTGATAATCATTATATGCAAACCTTTCAGCCTTGACTGTCAAAAGATTTAAGATTTTCCTGTACACATATGGCACCAGTAACAATTTCCACTCTGCAAAATAGAGATCAACAGATTCCAAGAGAGGCCTCTTCTCGTAGTTTTGTGTTCCTCTTGATACAAAGGAATAGCAAAGTGCTTGCTCAAATGCTGGCTTTTACAGTAATCCCCTTGCATTGTTTTGTGAGCTGCTGCTTTCTGACCTCCCCCATCTTCCTGCCCACTGAATACCATGGTAGTGCCCTGGGAACAAAATCCAGTAATGCCATAGCTCCCATTCTCTCTCCCCTGTTCCTCTCTGCTGGATGTGGCCCATCCTTGCTGAATTATATCTAAATTTATGGGGGATTCTGCACACTTACTCAAAAGAGTAGACTTCTGACTTCATGAAAACCATTAATGAAAATGGAAATTACTGGCAAGAATAAGATCACAAAGACCGAACTCTGAAAAAGTTTATCTTTTCTTTTAAAACTCTCCAGGCAATGTTCTCTACAGTGCAAGTGCACTTCCTCAAGGGGAGCATTTATCCCCTACTAAATCTGTAGTCAACGACTAGAATTTCACCTTTGCTATTGCATCTCTTCTCTGCCTGAAGTGGAGTATTTTCTTTAAAATGTGAGCAGGTACTGCATAAGTCACAGCAGTGTTTTAGTACACAGATACTCTGCAGTGAAAAAAGATGCTGGTCTATTCAGTCCAATTCAGAGTTTCCCTAAATCATCTTCAATGAGCTGACAGCAGGGAAACAGCAAAAATACAGCGCTATTTCCTTCTCATTTCCTTGCTCACTGGTACACCAAAATATTCCTTCATCAAAAGTTTTTCTACATCAAGATGTGCTAAGCTTCATAGCAGTATGGATTTCAGAAAATGTATATGGCTGCTTATCTATGCCAGCTGACCATCACCCTCCCTTTTTACTAGAATGAGAGGATGGAAGAATTAATTCCTGTGTTGTGATTAGCTAAAGATATAGAATTAAATATGAACTGGGTAGAACAGCAGCTCAATTTATTTATCCCTGAGAAGACGAAATCTCTGCATCTAACTGATGTGCTTTTCAATCTTAGAACGGTTTACTACACTCTGATTACTGTTTTGCAGAGGCATCTTCAAAAGCACATGAAACTTTGAGAATGAAGACAAGACAGCCTACACTTTAACCATCAAGCTACTATGTAGTTTTAAAAGAAAATTTCTTACCTATCTAGGAAGATGTCTGGTAGAGGTGGGTATGTTTGCATGTCAGGTACTCGCTCGTGTACTATAACCATAACAAATGATGTAAAGCCAAACACTATGAAGACATAAACACAACTTAAAACTGTCTTCCAATACTCTGGGTCCAGTCTTCGGGTAGAGTGTTTGTTTTTTCCATTTGCATATTGATACTGATCACCATTCAAGTCAGTAATTGGTCCATCATAGTCCCGAGGTACTTCACCATTACAAAACCAATCTGTACCTTGTAGTGAACCAACACTTGGGCATGCTGTGCCAACGTGACTATCACTGTTGTAACCCAGCTCTTCTAGTACATCAATGTGTTGCTTCTGTAGTTTACGTATGGACAACATCAGCCTTTTGATATCCCCCAAGACTTTGATTTCCAAAGGCGGGGATCGCAAATCATACTCAGTAAGTGTCAGAAGTGTAATTCCATCTAGCCTGTGTCTATTGCACAGAACATCCACATATTCACAGAAGCCTTCTTCCTTCAGCCACTTGGCCACGTTCTTAGTAGTCCAACGTCGAATGCAAAGCTGGTTAGTGCCTGCCATCATCCTTCTCTATCCACCAATAAAATTGACCTGTTACATATTGGAGAACAAGAAAAGACCTGAATTTATAACTTAGATTACTGAAATGCCGGTGTATGTTGTGTGATTTTAGATGCTTATTTAGCCAAAGGCTTTTTATATACGAGCCAGATAAAACAGACATATATTTATTAGGTAAGTAATATAAAAATCCTTTTAATTTTTTTTTTAAAGAAAAACTAAATTAAGATTATCTTGCTTGTTCCTAAATTGAAAATTAAAGCTACCAAGAAGCAGAATATTTCCTAGATATACCCAGTCTACTTTTATTATTTTGTGAAGAAAATAAATAAATCCAAGTTCGTTAATTACACCACGCAATGAAAACCAAAGATTACTCTGTTTAAATACCAGCTTAATCATTAGCCTTTTCTACTGTTTGCAGTTCATAAACTAAACAAGAAACTATAGCCAGCAACCATGTAAAACTGAATTAAAGCTAAAATAATACACTACAGGTTCAATATATTCCACTGTTTTAAAATATATACTGAAACTTTGGTGGCATAACATTTCCCTCCCACCCCTTCTAAGTAAACCTAAGACTAGGTATCTACAATAACAATGACCTGAGGCATCTTAGTTATACGTTGATGGTGCAGCCATCATACTTCTATATTTGTTTTACCTCAGTAATTAAGATAGATGCTTATATTGCACATCTTTTAAAATAACATTACTAGAAATTAAGCATTAGCTTTAATTTCAAGGCATCTTAAAAGTGACATGGTACTACTTAATACAGTAACACAGCAAAACCAGAAAATATGTATTCTTTTCACACAGTTCTCTCAGCAATTGTTTTCTTGGCTCTAGAATATTGCTTGAAGGAAGGCAAGACATCTCAGCAACATTTTAGTCACATGAAGGTGATGAGTCACCAGAACAACTTAGGAGCAACAATCAGAAAAAAGTTAACCATGGAATGTTATGTGGAATACATGAAAAAACTCTGAAAGGCTACCAGTATGTAAAAGTAATAAAAAGCTTATCCAATATTTAAGACCCACAGCAGTACAGAATGGATTTGTGCATAATTTATATTTGGTGGCTTATGTACAGCTACCATCTAAGAAACAGCTACAATGTCACAGCTCTTTTGTACTTGAAAAAACAGTCTAATTAACTAGAATGCTTCAATCACGCCAACCAAATTCCAGAAAATACAAGACAGTACAATACGCTAGTGCCACATATATCATTGAAGGCTTTCAGAAGGAAAGCATCAAAACAGTCTATTTAATCTATTATTTAGCCTCTGTATATCGTAAACAGGTACTCAAATCCATCATGAATATTCAACACAGTTTTACATCTTTTTCAGGGGCACAGCTCTTCCAAAAACAGAAGCTCTTTCCTTCTCACTTCTCTTTTTAAAGAGGTACTTTACCTATTGTTAGAAGTAGCTCTTATAATAATTATTGGATGCAACTTTTTCTTCCAGCTTACATCTAATAGGACCACACACTATTTTATTCTATACGAGAGATGATTCAATTTGTCCAATGAGATTTCCCAGCAGTGCAAAAGAAATAGTTCAGAAGAAAAATTAACGCACAAATCAAAGTTGCCCTTCTAAAAGAATGAAGGGAGTGGTACTTCTGAAGATATTCTCTCTGAAGTTCATTGTGCATTAACAACATGTTTTGAGAAATTAAAACTATGCATTAAGTACATCATATATAGTCAGTGTGTATATAAGCTTTAGTACCTTGATTTAAATAGTTACCAAAACATTCATAAACCACTACTAGAATCTCTGCATTTACTATACTCTTCCTTCTCCATATAAAAGGTATTCTCTCATTTCTAAGTTATCTTGCTATTTTTTGAAGTTTTGCTCAAAACAACTAACTGTAACATCTACTTTGCTCACATAGCTATTAATAAAAGAAATTATGACATTTAATTTGCAAATAATGATCAGTCAGGTAACCTTTTTTGTACTACTTATTTTATCTTACTCCAGTAAAACAAACTTGAGTTGCTTATCTGGACTTCTACCTTTCCTTACGCAGAAATATAGATGAAATACTAAAAAAAAAATGGTAATCACAGTATCTTTTATAACACTGCGACCATCACAAATTTTCAAAAAGCAATGAATTTAGACTCACCAAAAATACACTCAATTTACTGATTTGTCTTCTAATCAACGACAGGAAACTCCCTAACCTAAAAGAACTCTGTTAATTTGTCAGAAGTCAAGCAGCCTAACACCATCTTAGTCTTTCTTCATCGGTCACTGCAGGAATAAAAACCAACCCTTACCAAGCCTGCAATAAAAGTAACCTTACAACACTGAGTAAGCATAACCATCAAAGGTCACGACTGAATGGGCTGGACCTGGGAGAAAGTCTACATTAACCTTAAGATATACCTGATAGGATCTGCTCCTGTTTTTAAATGCTGTCAAAGACAAGGTATTTCACCATCTGGAAAAGACAAATCAACAAAAGAAACAAGCACTTACACAAAATACAAATTTAAACCATTCCACACAGCTGGTAGCTAATTTAATCCCAACAGCAACAGTTAAATTCGGTTTCATGACAAAGCAATTTCTTTCAACTCAGAAACTGCCTTCTCTTTCAGACTACTAATTTAGTGTCACTTCTACAGTTTGAAGTGTAAAAAACACTTTCCCTAATAATCTTAGCACCTGGAATACAATACAGATCTCTGTGCCTGACTGCTCCTGTTCATTGCTGAAGCTAAAGAATGTTACATAACATTTCCAACATTACTAGTCTGGAATGCAAGACTAATGTAGCAGAAGAGACCAAGTCACCAAGGTAACTGCACTTGTCTTCTGAAAGAAAACAGCACTGGTAGCTACTTCGCCTTCTACTTGCTAGTTTTACTGCTGACACCAAATAATAGATAACATTATTTAATGATGAATAACACAGAGCAAGCACAGACTTATGTGTCAGAGGGCAAAATATACTTTTTGCCTGACATCAGCAATGTCTGTAGCTAGCTAGCTGATTACTTTCCTGCGACTGTGACTTTATACTTAGTCAGGTCATCAGCAGTAGGTATCATGTGTCCCATTTCCCTTTTTCCTTCCCCAGCCTTTCAATTAATAGCTTGACGGCAACTGAATATGAACTTCATGTGTACATGTATAATATTTATTTTTTTAAAAGAAAAAATTGTTACTTTGTGAGCCATGAAAATTTCTACAATTTGATTAGGGCATTTTAATAAATTAGATGTCTCTGAGAGGTTGAGTACACCCTAGCTGCTAGTACAGTATTTTTCCTAGATGTATATTTAAATCTGGAAAATTAATCTCTCTCAAAATGATTATCCACAACTCTATCATGTTTTCCTCTACTGAATTACTGACAGTCAATCATTAAGTCCCTACCTTTCCCAGGATACAGACTGAGTCAGTATACCAAGGTAAAAATGTGGGAAGTTGAATCTGATTATCACTTCTCTAGTCAAGGAAAAGTAGCATTACTATCACACTAACATTAGGCTCCAATCCTGCTATATAGGAGCCAAACTTGATTACACCAGAATCATACCTGAAGGGTTAAATGAGATCCTAGTTACTTCCTAAGCAGTTAGCAGAATGCTGAGCTTATTTGTTTATTCCAGCCCTAAATGCAAAACTCTACCAGCACCATTACTGCTTCACCATCCACCTTCATGTGCTTGGGAGAGCCTGGGGCTCTCCTTGATGACAAGCCTCTTGATTTTTTTCCCCAGCTAGGTTCAATTCTCACCATCCTGGAGAGAGGAATTTTAGGAAGGACACTGAAGAACTATCAGATCTCAAGTGATTTAACCTACATTTCTTTGTGGGAAGTTTCAGTATAGGGAATTCCAACTCAGCCCCACTTTTGCTGGGTCTGCTGGCCTAGAAGCATGACATCTCACACCTCCAGGGAAAAGCTTCTCTGTACAAAGGCTGCTGGTTTGCAATGTGGACGAGACCCAGGTTTGAGGCCTTGTCTGCCCAGCATAAAAAAAAAAAAACATACACAAAAAATTACACTGAGCCAGCCTGCAATAATAGGGCTACTGTCACATACCAACTTAGTAATGCTGTGCTGGAAAAAGAACATACAGCGCTGCTTTGTTACGCATCAGAAGTCTTGGACACTTTGCTGACTTGCATCAGAAGCTTGTCATTTGCTCTTCCTGAAAACTCCAAATTCTTCAGTGCATGTTTAAAGAAAATAGCACCAAAGGTTTCATCGCCATATACTATACAGTGACTTAATCCTTACCTTCTAAATGCCACCATATAGTACAGTATCTTGTAAACAAAAGGAGAAGAACACTTGCAAAACCAATACATGAATTTTCAAGGGTTTAATACAATAGGTACCATGCTATACATAAAATTGATCAAACACAGCAAAATGCCTGCCATGAGACCTAAAAACTGGATAAGTATTTTCCTGAAGCAAGCATACTTCAAATGCAGAAATATTCCTGTAGAACTTGCATTCAGTTTTACTTAGTGACTTTGCTATCAGAGTTGCTTCACAAATATTTCTAGTTAGTAAGATTATCAGCAGTATTTTAACCGTACTCAAAGGTCTTTGTGTTATTTATGAAGATAAGAAATCTCATAAAGTAACACTTGTTTAGTTTATTGTATGTCTTAGGTTTTAAACCACCAAGGAAGATGTGCTTTTCAAGAACTATTCACTGAAGTGCTACACTGTGGAAAATACAGAACTGATATGTAAAATAAAAGATTTGCTCTATATGCTTAGAAGAATGCTTTCTGTTGGCATTCCTCCATGCAAAACTGACAACTACTACAGAAAGTCCTGAAAGCTAAACATACTTGTCTTAAGAACCACTAAGTGCAGCTACATATTGCAGCAAGCTGAACAGAATACATACTGCTCCCTGACTTTTACACCTCATTAAACCATTAAATGGGTTGTACTATACTCAAGTGAACACACTAAGAGTGGCTCAACTCCTCATATACTAACCAGTTAAGGAAACATTTTTTATCCTGCCACCATAACTCAAGGAACACACAAGTGATTTTTAAACAACTGATGAAGTACTCCACCACTTACCTTAGGATGTAATTCATAGTATTTCATTAATATTTGTAGAAGATCTTGAACATTTCATGTGCTAAGTGTCAAGTATTCTTTCCTCCAACTTCAAGAAACAGTATATCCATCTCCTAACAAAATGTTTGCTGCTCTTTATCCTTATACAACTTATCAGTAAAACAATTTAGGTTTGCTTTTCCCTTTTTACTTATTTATTTTCTTCTCACACCACCATCTTAGGATAGAAATAGGGGAAGACGTGAACAAACTCTCCATCCAAATTAATACCAGAACAGTATCTGAGGTGAAACTGCGTTTGTTCTTACTCTCCATAACCATGTACAACCCGATCTTTCCTAGTCTTGTGAAAATCTAGGAGCCTTCCTCATTTTAGATGCATTAAAATAAATAAGATATAAAAAAACTTCTACAAGTTATGCAATTATCAAATACACATTTGTAATGTAATATGGTTTATGATTCTCAGCCAGCTCAGTGGGCTGCAAAATCAAGCTCTGTACAAAGAAAAGCGATAGTATAGAGCCTGACAGACTGCAACTCCTAGGCCTAGCTGTGTTTTTAATTGTATACTACCAAAACAACCCAAACCAACCAGCCAGCAGAAAGATCACATAGAACAAGATAATGTAAAGTTCTTGCTCTCTACAAATCCACAGAATGCTTCCTTCACATCCAAGTAGCACTGTCACAAAGTTATGAAACTTCCTAATGACTATCCTTCCACTGCATATAAAAATCACACTACCACAATCCTGCGAGTTAATTCCACTATATTTTTCCCTATATCACTGTTAATTTTTCCTACACCACAGACTGCAAAAGGCAGAACAAGACCGCAGGAATTTCCTCACCTCCAATTTCCAGAAAGAGGCACCCCGCATCAAACACGAGGGGCATTTAAACACCAGGAAAAGCCTTGCTGAGCTCTCGCCACTCGAGAGCGCAGCACAACTGGCCACTCCACGGAGGTGGCACGGACACTGCGCCCACCTGCAACCACAGAGCTCTGTGGCGATGGAGCACACTTTGCACAAGTGGAATCTGCCATCCAGTCGCCTTACAACACAGAATGTGTGTTGCGATTTTATAAAATTAATTTTGCAAACTGAAGCATCAGATACAAAACCATGAGTCCCCTTCAACTCCAGCTACAAACTAATAAATATGTGAACATTAAAACTGCCTCTCATTTGCCTCTCCTTCAATTAACTTACAGAGCTAAAAAAACTACCATTTGAAGTATTATTTTTTAAAAAATAGCAAACAGCAATCCTTAAGTGAACAGTCCATGAGGCCATCTAATGCCTCTGCAACATAGATTTGAGAGACTGCGTGCATGACAATCCCTGCAGAGTTTCAACTTTCTGAACACGCTCAGGCCTTACACTAACACAAAATCTGCCCCACGCAAGCAGACTGCTCCATTTAATCTTGAAACTCAAACAGCATTCATGCAAACCAGTAACAGCACTTTTCCTTGCCGCCTTGCTAATTAGGAAATCCTACATGCTCCAAAACCTTTTTACTCAAAGCTAAGTATTTCACCCTCCGAAAACCAATCGATTTTACACTGCTGGCAGAGAAAATAGACAGCTGAATACGTTTTGACCGGACACAACTGCTTCCATTCGTAAGACTGACACAAAGCACAAGCGCTCGGCATCGTTTCCAAAAACGATTTGTTTCCTGTGAAGGCTGACACAGGAATGAGAAACCGAGTTCCCTCTCCTGCCAGACCCGCTATAACGAAAAAGCACAGCAGCAGCACGCCCCCGACCTACCCGGTGTTCTTCCCGTTCCTGCTCAGCACACTGCGGAGCCTGCCACCTCCCCGACAGACACGCTCGCACCCTGCCCGCTACCGAGGCTTTTCCCCTCGCTGATCGTTGCCGAAGTAGAAAATTTCCGAAGTTCGGAACGAAATCGACACAGCCAGGCACAAAGCCTGAACTCCTTCACCCTCGTCAGAGCTGACAAAATAACTTGAGCGAGAAACGCGCTCGGTTTTCGGTTTCCTAGCAGCCTGGCTTCCCCGAGAGCCGGCGCGGGCACCGCCGGGGCACGCCGCCGAGAGCCGCCCGGCCAGCGCGGGATGGCGGGCAGACTCCAGCAGCGATGTGCCCATGCAAGATACGCGCATTAATCACGGCGGAGCGGATCTTCGTGCGAACAGACGATACAAGAAGCTCTTCCACCACCTCACCACCCCCCCGCGGTAGATGAAGCTGCTCTCCCCCACTCCAGCCGCGGGAGCGGAGGAGCCCTTGCCCGCCCGAGACCCGCGGAGCCCGCCCGCAGCCAGCACACGCCGCCCCCGGCCCCGCCGCAGCGGGGCAGCGCCCAGGCTCCCGGCCTGCCGGCAGCGGGCTCCCAACGCCGGGGCGGCCCTTCTCGTCCCCGGCCGGCAGCGGGGCTGCCCCTGCGGGCCCGGCGCCGGGCATCGCGCTCCGCCGCGGGCGAGACGCAGGACCCCCGTGAGGAGGAGGGGAGCGCCCCCGCGCCGCGCCGCGCCGCGCCTCACCTGCCGCCGCGGCAGCAGCAGCGCTAAGTGGCGGTGCCGCAGCGCCCGGCCCCGGGGCGGCGGCGGCTCCTGCGCGCCCTCCCTCTCTCCGGCGGCGGCGGCAGCGGCGGCGGCCACCGCCACCCCCCCATCACCCGGCCGGAAGCGGCGGCCGGCGGCGCCAGCGCCTCGCTGGGCGGCGGAAGGGGCGGAGAACGGCGCGGGCGCCGTTTCCGGGCGGGGCCGCGGAGGCGGGAGCGGGAGCGGAGCGTCCCCTCCCCTCGCTGTGGTGCTGCGGCCCCGGGCCCCGCCGCCTGCCCGTCTCTGCCGCCCTCGGGACCACCGCGACGGGCCGGGGGCTGCGCCGCCCTGCCGGGTTGTTACCGCGAGCCTTGCCGATATGGGCTCAGACCACTGGAGGGGTTCGCAGAATCACAGAATGGTTTGGGTTGGAAGGGACCTTAAAGATCATCAAGTCCCAGCCCCCCTGCCACGGCCAGGGACACCTTCCAGCAGACCGGGTTGCTCAAAACCCTGTCCAGCCTGGCCTTCCAGGGAGGGGGCAGCCACAGCTGCTCTGGGCAAGCTGTGCCAGGGCCTCACCACCAACACGGGAAAGAGTTTATTCCTTATATCTAATCTAGATCTTCCCTTTTTCGGTATAAAAATTTTACCCCTCATCCACTACACCCTCTGATAGAGTCCCTCCCCATCTTTCCTGTAATCCTGCTTTCAGTGCTGGAAGGCAGCTCTAAATTGTCTCCCCAGACCCTTCTCCAGGCTGAACGCCCCCGCCTCTCTCAGCCTGTCCTCCCAGGGGAGGTGCTCCAGCCCCCCCGAGCATCTTCAGGGGGTGCTGCCCGCTGGTACCTCGCCGGTGGGCCGAGCAGGGGCTGCGGCTGCCTGGGCCTGCTGGCACGTTACACCCCGGTTATCCCTTCGTTAACCTCCCCGCTGCGTCCAGGCCGTGCAACACGCGAATGGCTCATTGGGCTTCCCCGACCCTGGACTCATCGGAATATGGGTCTTAAATATTTGGAAATATAGTAACAACTCCTTTGAGCTGTGTGAGAAACTCGAAATCCGTAGATAGTTGGCAGTGTATTTTTTAGAAGTCAAAAGAATAAATCATCCATAATCCCCACAGAGATCAGCTGAAGGGAGAAGCAAGAGCAAAGAAGAAGAAGAGCTCATGTTTAAAGCAGGCTAAGAGTATAAAACACTACTCCTGGAAGATACTATAGTAGTTTTTTTTTTTCCAGTATGATCTTTCTGTCCATCATTGGGAAGTACCTTAATACAGCCTGGATGTGAGAAAGAGATGAATGTTTTTAACCACACTAAATAGGATTTTTCTTAGATTTTTAATGAGACATGAATAAACGCATAGCGTGATCCTGACATAATTTTAAAAACCCGCCAATGTAGAAATGAAAATATCCCCGTCCTTCATTTAAAGGTTTATGTCAGGACAAAATAGCAAAGAAAACTTACAGGACCCTCATCCTGTCAACTGTCATATGAAACAATCATTACAAAAGATTTCCCTTCTCTTTAGATGCACCATTTTTTTTCACCGTTACTCTTTTCTGATGTCTGCAGAAAAAAATAAATCAAAACTAGCAGCTGGCCGACAGCACTCAGTCATTCATCCAAGGAGATCCAAACCACAGATGTGAACAGCACAGATGACTTATGAAAGCTTCAACAAGGCACCATAACTTTAGGAGCTCCATAACCTATAAATAATAGAAATGGAGGGGACAGGAGACATACAAATTAGAAAAAAATTACTCCAGAAATAAATTTATTTTGTGTATCAACTGACTGTGGTAACAGCCAGCCCTTTGGAGCAGCATAATGCAGTCTGAAGAACATTCAGAATTCGCTTTGCTGGTGATGTAATTACTATGAGGTCCAAGACAAGTCTGAATTGAAGTAAAAAGCAGGTGTCAGTGTAGCTCCATTAAGTAAATAACACTAGCCTTTTAAGAGAATTTGGCCTTGTATTCTTCACAGGAAAAAAAAAATCTTTTGCAATTCTTGTGTGCTGCTACAGTGAAACAAGGGAATTTTGCATTTCAAAATGCTTCAGAGCTGTGTCAAGTTGTCAAGTCATCGAGCAATCTGATGCAAATGTCCATGATTGTACAATCTCAGTTGTAATGGGCTATATACATTTTAAATAGATCAAATACTGGATATTCAGAACAGAAGCTGTAAGAACTTTTGCTAGTTGCCACAAGCCCTGATACTGGTTCAAAGGTGCTTATCTCCAAGTAGTCTGTTCCATCCTGCTTTTATTTTTAACACCAAATGATGTGTAGTTTCCCAAAGGAGTTGCTGAAGTTGGGGGGAATGTTCCACTTTCTTTGCCAGTTTAGCAGCCTCTGCAAACAATGTAGGAATTAAATGCTATTTCAGTCCTCTCAGTGTTCCCCTTCTTTCCCTTTACATGCACTAGATGAAAAACTGACAAGTCTGAATCCATCAGTGACAAACCACAGAACATATACATATGAATCTGAAAAAAATCCCAACCAAACGACAAAAAAAAAATCAAACGGACACTGTCTTCCTGTTAATAATGGACCTGTTAATAAATCTGGTTAAAAGTTGAGGTAGTTTTACTTACTCCAGGTCCACATACTCATATTCAAAATAACTAGCAGTTATCTGACAAGAAAAACAAAATTATGGGAGAGCAAGGGAATTTGGTTAAACAAGAGTTTATGCTTCTCTATGTGCTTTCTTTACTTCTTCTGCCATGAATTTTTCTTCACCAGCTGCCAGTCACAATTTTTGCACAGTTCCAGGTGCCAGGTTGGTACAATTTACAATACATTGCCACATTTGCTTGCATCTGAAAAACTGGCTTAGGCCAATAATGTAAAAACAAGTAAAAACTGAAATTAAAAATTGCTGCAAAAATAACCGTAGGAGGCTACAGAGCTATTTCACACAGAAGAGGTCACCGGGTTGGTGTCTTAAGCACAGCCCTGGAGCTAACTCACCTTTTGGGATCTCATTCTTACCCTTTTTACGGGAACTGCCAGGACAGTGCTGCATTGTTCAGACTGCTGTGACTTAGGTGGGTTTTTTTAACCTAAACACGCACTACAGTCCACCAGCTCACTAGACTGCAGGATGGAAGCAAAAATGAAAGCAGAAGTTTCCTTATCCTGTTTCCCTACACTGTTTATAGCAAGACCAGCAATCCACCTACAAACAATTTCCCAAATTCAGTCTCCAAACTTTAGAAGTCCAGATTGGAAAATAAGCCGTAATTATACATACACGTGAATCCGGGACTATCTGAAGTTTACAGGCCCTAAGGTATGTTATATCAGCAATAGATTCCCATGCTGTGAACCCCTGGCCAAGAGACACATCTGCAGTAAAAGTGTAGAAGACAGACGTCCTCAGCCTGGCCAGGTGTCACTGGAGAGAGCCCTGTGCCTGGCTGTGGAGGCTGCTGGGCTGGTTTGCAGCAGTGATTTGGCAACATCAGCACTGGAGAAAACCTCGGTGGTCAGTTTCTATCTGAAGTTGTCACTGCTAATGGCATGCTTCTGCTCTGTCTAGTTTCATCACCTAACAAATATTTTGAAAATGACCAAATTATCTCACACAGAAAAGTGATAAAGAGCACAATTTAAAACTTGTAGCTCTTAAATGAAAGTAGACACGTAATAGCTGCTTAGCCACTGCACTTGAAAGCTGAAAACTACTTCTCCATGCTAACACTTGATGTTCTTTAAGAGGGTAAATTATCTAGTTTGTGCTTTATTTAAGAGAAATTTCCAATAAACCTCATTCTGTCACTTTGAGTCATGTCATTTAATGCCATGCAACATTGATGTAAGTTTGACAGGCAGTGCCAATGCTGACATGTCAGTCTGAGAATTTATGACAAATTACATGCTACAGATACTTTTAAAGTATTGCAAAGAAAGAAAGTTTTTAAAATGTGTAATTATGCTGGGTGCATCTTAAGATTGAAAACAATTTATTCAATTCACATAGTTATATTGAGTCAATGTTCAGGCTGACACTTACTCAAAAAAAAAGAAAGAAAATTTATGTTGAAATTTCCCAACTAGCTCCAGTTAGAATATATTATAAATCACAGGAAAATGAGATGCGTTAATGTAATGTTTTTCTTTTAAAAACACTCTGCTGTCATTAAGTAATACTGTTAGCATTTAATAATTTGAAATAATCAATCTCAAATAAATCTCAAGACCCTATGCAGAAAAGGAGGGCCCCAGCTGAACAGATAATTGCTTATAAAAATCCTTTTCCAGCAAATAATACAACATGGCAAGGGGGGGATCTTTCACTAGAAGTGCTAATAGATCTAAATCATGCTTTTTTCTTTTTCTGGGTTTTGCAGCAGGTTTTTTGGTAATCTCATTTTTGTTCAAATCAGGTGCTGCCTTATAATTTCTTTGTAATCTCTGTACTTCTGTGGAAGCACACTTAGATCTGTCATATGCAAACTTTCACGCATCTAGTTTATCTACAGATTTCTTACTCCCATAATGGAAGAAGACATGGAATTCCATAGATTCATAACTAGCCGAACTTCCATGCTGTAATGTTTTCATTATAAAAGCTTTCTTTTTTTCAGGATATGTTAAAGGAGTTTGATTTTGGCCCAGTTTTCACCGGAGAAATGGAAAGCTGTCACAGACATGGCATCAGTTACTACTGACAGGCGTATTTTCAGTAGAAGAGCCTCTGTGGGTGCCCCATTTTCAAATGCTGCATGTTTTCCTGGTAATGCCATGCTGCATGCTACTACAACACTCCGTGGCAGTTTACACTGTTACCACCTAATACATTAGTAGCCAGGGAATGTTTGATTTAGATTATTGCACCAAGCACTACCTACAAAGTAATCACAAAGGCATAGTCTGATTAGAAGAATGCCTTCTGCTGGGTGTTCTGAAATTAATCATGCATTAATTTCCACTCAAACAGCAGCTATTTTTATAATTGCACACAGATGTTTGGCTTAGAGCTGCCCACCATTCCAACAGTCAGGAGAATGTCCAAATTCTTGGAATCTCAAAAGGTCCTTACTGCACAGAAAACTAATTTTGCCTCTGTTCAGTGTGACCATATATCAGTTTGTTGCTTTTTACAGCCATCCTTAGTAATTTTAAAGGGGCCAGGAAAAAAGCAAAGCTGCACACAAAATCTTTTTGCCGGACAAAAGATTACACCTGGAAGGAATTTCCTACCAATTTTGAGGACAAAGCGAAGTTCATGCTTTTCATAGTTTTTTAGCATTTTCATTCAGGCTACTTTTATACAGACTAAAATACAATGATTCTTCCCAAAGTCAGAGAATTACGGCCTTTTCCTGAGTGTTAACACAAGGACAAAATAAGGCGCTTCAGGAGCAAAGAGATGATGGAAAAAAGCCTTCGGCTTCACTGCGGGGAGTTCATACTTCTGCTGAGAAGGATCTCCAGCTTCCTGGGGGTTTCATGTCAAGGCACATCTCAGTAGCAGAGAACCCGACTGCCCTGGATTGACCCACAGACCTGATGGCTAAATGCAGTGTAAACGCATGGAAAGAGAGGTGTACTCTGAGACATCTGAGCCCAGGGCCAGAGGCAGAACAACAGGCAAGGGGGAACATGGAGCAGGAAGAGATGCTCTTGTTCTTGCTAGTGAGGTTATGTCCTGTGGGTTTGTGCACAATGGAGCTGGTCTGAAAGACAGATCTCTGCCTCCTGTCTGTTTCAAAGATGGCTCCTGGCAAAAAAAAAAGTAACACAGCTGTACCAAAGTCATGTTTGCAGACTATTAAATGTTTAGAAGAAGCTAGGTATGTGAAGCCAGAGTTCTGAAGCAGAGGGCTGTATGCCATACAAATGTTTAAGGCACACAGGGTTTGGAGATCACCCTTCTGGAGTTCATGTTTCTCTGCTCGTCAGCTTTCATGCCACAGATGAACTCTGAGTTTAGTGCATTTGGGGTAGAGGCCAATAAAAGTTTTATAGCTGAAAAGGGCCAGACTTAAACATGAGAGTCACCTTTCTGACAGAACTTGACTGGCAACAAATGGGCTGGGCTTACATTTTAAAAAATCTGCTAGTAAAGCCTCACCTTGAGCCTCCACCCAGAAACCTGAGAAAAGTAAACTAAATTAAACAACTTCACCTGCTCAGTCAGTTAATTTTCCTCATCTGTGAGCACAAATCAATCAGCTTAAAAAGCACTATCTTACTGAAGGAAAAAACAAAACAGAAAAACAAGGTAACATGACAAGGACATATATGTAGTATTTAAGTATGACTTTAACCATTTTTGCAGTTCTCTCCTCTGCTGGATCTGGCAGGCTGCTTGCGTCACTCACAGCAGAGCCTGGCTGCCTGTCCCACTGCTCCCTCTAGATAAGCACTGCAGCTTGTATTTTCTCTTCATTTCACCTTTTAGGCCAGAACATATATGGCAGTGGGAACTAATAGTCTCTTTGTATACAGGAGGCTCTTAAACAGTTTCTTCTATAAATCCACAGAATTTTAACATTTTCTATTTCATGAAAGACTCTAAACAAAGTCACTTTTCTTTCTTCTTGCATATAACTTTTGCCCTCTGATGCTGCAAACTATTGCCTTGTATTAGGGTGATCTCTCACCCACAGTACTCATAAGCATAGTTAATTAGTCCAGACTTTAATACACAGTTTCAAACAGCTCTCCATGATATATCTCTTGATAAAATAAAATAAAGCAAACCTTCTCTCCATTGTAGTAAATCAATGCATGTGGAATAAAGGTGGCTCAGACTTGACCAAGAGTTCTTTCCATTCATTGTCTTTTTTCTACAGGCAATGATATCAGCAGTAAGCTGTTTCTCTTGGGTCACCTTCTCTTCTGGACTGCTTTGGTAGTGGAACCATGACTCTGAATGTCAGCTTCCAGGCTTACAAAGGAAGAGCATCAGCATTTCATGTGTTTTGCCCTGTAGCTCTATTGCTGACAGTCTTGCAGCCCCCTGCTAGGAGTCACACATCCTACAAACCAGAAGCACAGGCACTGCTGCACTTGAAAGAGCCCACTGATATTACAGTCTGATATGACAGGTCTCCAACCTGTGGCTCACCAGAACTTCCTATATAAACTGACTCAGTGGCTTACAAGTTTCACCTGACAACCATTATATTCACCTTCTTTGTTCTCTTTTCAACAGAGAGAGGTATCATACAATACATGGCAGGTGCACTGTATTAACACAGTGATGAAAGAAGTGACTGCAATAGAAAAGATTAAACGTATAATGTACAGTTAGGCTCAGATAATTGTACTTGGTGAAAAAAACAGTAGCTTCAAGAAATACATTTCTCTAGATTATTGGTGATAGGCAAGACATCCTCATCCGCTTGGTGCTTAAGCTCCTGGTGCCCATGTCGGTAGGACCCATTGGTGCATTTCTGACATTTTCACAGCTATGTTTTTAAGCACCTCAAAAGAAATGGGAGACAGTTGTTACTGGGGGAAAGTTGCCACTCTTCTTGCACTGGACAGGTTTTTATTTTTCCTTTACTGAGCCTTTAATTGCTTGTGATGAATGGCCAGATCTTGCTGACTGCTGCTGCTGTGCCGAGGACACTGCTGGGGACAGTCACGGCCATGTCCTTGTGGGTGTCCTGCGGACAGGGGGCTGCCACCACACGCAGCTGACACCCCTGGCTCCGAGGCTGCTGTGTGGCACAGCAGTGCGGCTCTGGGGGCCAGCCCTGGGGATTGGACCGGAACCAGTAATGCCTGTTTTGGTACATGCATCTTTTTCACCGGGCTGTGCCAGTCAGGGCAATGCACAGGCAAGCCGCCAGCCCTGGGGAGGGGACTTGGGGGACGCCGCAGGACAAGGGCGGCTTGGCTTGGCAGCAGGAGCTGCTGCCCGGCACCTGCCCCAGCCCATCTCCCCGCCTCCCCCCTGACCACCCCCGGGTCTGGCAGCACCCCAGCGCCCAGCGCCGGGCCTCTGGCTGGTGGAAGCAGCGTCTCTCCCTGGCTCTCGGCATGTCTGGGACGGAGGCGCTGGACCCAGGGCAACCCAAATGCACAGGGGACATCCCCTCCCTTAAAGAAATTGAGCAGCTCCTGAACACCGGGCAGCCCTCTTGCAACCACGTTGATGAAGTATGGCCTAATCTCTTCTTAGGAGACCTGTAAGTACAGCTTTATGGACACACCGCTGCCATACATTCTGTCTGTTAGTATGCCTCATAGGTGCAGCTTTAGACAGCTGATAGTTCTGCTAATTGCTGTCATTTACACTGCAGTCAGTGTGGTTTCCAAGATAAAATTATGACTAAACTGGTACTTGCTTCTCAGTTAGCCCTTAGAAGCAATGCACAGGCTGACACTCCAGCAAATGGTTTGGGAGATGCAATCGCAGCGCTTCTGCTCTGTGAATATCTTTCTACCCGTTTTGATTTGTTTCTCTTTGTCTTTTCCTTAGAGTAACAGCTCACAACAGATTTGTTTTGTGGAAGATGGGTGTGACCCATGTTTTAAATGCTGCTCATGGCACAGCGTACAGCCAAGGAGGCCCGGACTTTTACGGAGCGACCATTGATTATTATGGTGTACCAGCCCATGACCTCCCAAGCTTTGATATAAGCCAGTTCTTTTTCTCTGCAGCGCAATTTATCCACAATGCCTTGAACACACCAGGAGGTATGGAATTATTGTTGGTCACATTGTTATGCAAGTTGGCAGAATCTTGTAACAGGTCAGCTCCATGAGCTCAGTGGTGGACAAGTCACTATATGGTCTCCTGTCAGCTGCTGGTCACCTGCAGGGTGGGTGGCAGGAGGAGGGAGTGCTGGGTACATGTATGGAGTTCTAACTACGTCCCAAAAAGTTGACATGAGAAAAGGGATGAACAGTGCAGGAGAGAGAGCGGGGCAGAGAGGAGAGGAGGCAGAATAGAGAGAAAAATATATGGAAGGAAAGGCTTGTTCAAAAAGGGAGAAGCAAAAACATATATTTAAAATGGGCACCCTCTTTTGAGACTCTTCTATGGCAACTGTATTTGTAAAAACAAACGAATAAAGAGACAAAAGTCTGACTTCCACTGCCACAAACTGCATGAAGAGGCTCATATATTGCAGATGAGCTTCTTGCAGGAAACAGGGCCTGCAGGGCTGTGCCCATGAGATTTACCTTTACTCAAGGAGATTTATAGTGTGTTGCACAGGAGACTGAGTTTCTTGGCACTGGTGCAATAAAATACTAATTAACCTGTATTACATAAAAGACCATTTCTTAGCATGAGTAAACTGGCATTAATGGAACCGTCTCAGTCTGTATCACAAGTTCTGCCTTCAAAAGAGAATTACAGTTGCAGCAAATTGCCTTATTGATTAGGCCAGTCATTTTTCTTGGAGGGTAATGAGTTAGTGCCATCCTTTCAGGCCAGATTTTAGCATTCTTCTTCACATAAGTAAGACCCTATGAAATCAGTGGGTCTGATTTTCCTTTTGTTTGCAACAGAACAGCTTCATTGCTTCAGCAGGGTTTTCTTTGATTTACCAGTGTTTCTGAGATCCAAGTGAGTGTGACAATTGCAAATTAGACTTAATCATTAGCACTTCATGTGCTCTCTCAGAAAGATAAGAAATACATAATGTTTGTGGTGTCACTCTGACCAAGCGGGAGAAAGCAAAAGGGGTTTGTTTTCCCTTCAAATACTTCATCCACTGTACTGCTTCTCTTCTATGGTTTGGTTTGTTTTTTTTTTTTTTTACCCAGCTAAAATTTTGGTACACTGTGCAGTTGGAGTAAGCAGGTCAGCTTCCCTTGTCCTAGCATATCTCATGATAAATCATCACCTGCCATTGGTTGAGGCCATCAAAACCGTGAAGGAACACCGATGGATTTCACCCAATCGTGGCTTTCTGAAACACCTACGAAATTTGGATGTTCAGCTACGACAAAAGAAGGACTGCTGAAAGGGCAAACCCATTTACATTCACTTTTCCAAGTTTCAGCCTTCATAGTCATTGTGTATATACATCTTCTTATGATCAATGCATGCTGGAAAAATGAAGAAAATTATGCATCAAAGAAAAGAACTGTAAATGGATTCATTCTGATAGCTCCTCAGTTCCTCCAAGGCTATCACAGCCAACATCAGCACCGTAAGCACTGTGTGCTGCAGAGCTGCTGTGCCTAACATGGTGCTACCAGATGGCTCCACTGCAGTGGTTAAGATGGACCGAGTTTGTTCCTGGTTTGTGCTAATGCCAGAGGAAATTTCCATAATTGCATCTAGCTGTACAATATGTTTGAGTCCCCTTTACTTGGGAGTGAAACATAACCAGCTTCCTCGGTTTGGTTACTGTTTTCACATGCATGCTCTCGTAAGAAAAGCTTTTTGTGTTCCAGGCCTGGTGATGTGGCAAGGGCAATTTCTTAAGAGCCCAAGCACCACTACAGAAACATTCCTCTTTCACTGGTCTGCTAACTATCGCAGTGCTTACAAAAAGCTGTGGCAGCCTGAAGACCCACACCAGCAGAATAATCTTCTGTGCAGCTCTCTCTGCAGTCTCTGGGTCAGCAAACCCACAAACCTTTTCTTGTGTAAATATGTTTTCAGCAAGATAATGTATATTATGTAGTATATTGAGGAGATTAAAAAAATGTGTCAGATCTTCAAAGAATTTTGTGAGCTTGAACTCATTAGTTCACTTCCTTCCAAATTATCCTAAATCAGTTCTGTGTAAGTGGCTTTGACTCATCCCTGATTTAAACTAGGTAGGAACTTCTCTTAGATCAATGGCTAGGCTTAATTGATACAAATTAGTTTTAAGCTGTTTTGAGGATGTCACTTTTCCTGTCGCCAGTTAATCAATACTTAAACCAATGTGATTTTTAATACAGAAACAGCATTTGAAATTCATGCTCCCACTCTGCCTGAAAATTAGCTTGTTACCTTGTGGTGAACCATGAAGCGATAATCAAATCTATTTTTGCCCTTTGCTACTGGCTTGATTCGTTGATTAGCTGACCTTATAAACCTTACCTGCCAGATTAAGTAAATACATTTCTGCTTGTTTGTTTGTATTTGAAGCATCAGTTCTGATCATTTTCCTGTCTGCTGGAAGAGACTTGAAAGGTTAGAAGAAGACTTAAATAGTGGTGACTTGTGAGTTGAACCTCTTCCTTCCCAGGCCCCCTATCCTCCTTAATTCTTGGAGAGGTTATGACATGAATGCTGATTCTGCCTAGCGCTTATGGGAATGTAGAAATCCCTCTCTATTTCAGTGTAACAAATCCCTTGCAAAATAAGCATCTTTAAGATCCTTTCAGAGGTCTGTTCGACTGTCTGTTCAGATTTTCCGAAATCTTGCCAAACAGCTCCACTGACGAGAGAAAGAGAAGACATTGTAGTGTAAAAAGATCAAATAGAAAATCACATTTAAACCCCAATAGTGCAAGGACAATCTTTATACCTCACAAAGCAGCAGAGTGGTGGAGGAGGAGCTGGGTTTGCTTTGAAGTTCTCCATTAGAGTTAATAGGGATTTATATGAGTTAATATTTCATTATAATTTATATTTCATTCACATTACAGTAGATTTTATTCTGGAAACCTTTTGAAGACATGGCATTGAAAAATCTGAAATTCATGTGAGTGAAATAATGCATCTTAATGGCTTTAGGCTGGGCAAAATTAGACACATGTGAGCAAGATTAATGGAGCCTCCCATCAGGGTAATGCTTTGCATGCCCCTGAACATCTGTCCCACAAAGCCACAGCTGTGAAAGCTGCTCCTGTTGTAAATTAGTACCTGCTCTCGCAGATACTGCTCTTCCTGGGAGAGTATTGCTTCACCAGGGATAGAGAAGAGTACAGAGCCAAGCTGAGTCAGTATGGCAGCCATGCTACCAATGACACGGTAGTGATCTTGTACAGCAAGACTTACTTACCCCAGTGGAGGGAATGAATTAGTTAGAAACTCTTTTCAAGGACACTGACAAATCACAGAAGTGTTTTTAATCTGTGGAGTTAATGTTGCCTATATTTCCTGCCTCCCTGTATTGCTCCCTTCCTTATACACAGTTTAACTTTGGCTCCAGGTCTGCTTGGATTCCAGTCAACATAAGCAAAAGCAGTAGAATTAGTCCCGTAACTTCTTGAAATAGAAAACATGGTCTGCTGTGATGTGCTGGGAGGAAAAGAGACCATCTCACCTGTCACTTACACTACCCATAGTTCAGGTCATGACGTGAAGTGACAATACTACTTCACTGTTTCCACTATCAGTTGGAAAACTTGCATTTGAAATACTGGTTTGGCCAGTTGGACTAAGGAATCAAAACAAAAGAAAAATACTGCCTCATCAGCGACACTTTGTTCAGAAAATGCACATCTGTTGACCGGGTCTACAAAACCTGGAAGACTAAAGGCACTGAATGTTAACTCATAACTGAGGGAGGGTCCCATATTTAAGTACCTAAAGGCAAGCTGGGTACCTGCTGAGCTGGCCAGAGCACCATGGCTCATGCAGCGGTGCCTGTGTACCCTCCCAGCAGACCACAGGAACTGGATATCCAGCCTGACCAGGAGCCAATTACCTCCCAAATCCTCTGCAACAAACAGGTGCACAGGCCTTCCTGCCCCAGGCTTGCCTTATCATGGGTCTTTCCTCAGTCTGTGCTTACTGCCTTTGTCCCTTTTCATTTACTGTTTAGCTGAAAAATGCATTTGACAAAGTCCACAACAGAGTGCATATGGTTCAGGAATGAGCTCCTCCCATGAGAAAGGACTATACCAGAAAGAAGAGTTAGACTTCCTCTGAAGAGGGTCTGAAAACAAATTCTTTGTTCCTTTGAGAGCAATTTTCACCTAGATCCAATTCCTGAGCCACCTTACCAAGTGGGTCATGAGGACTAGTGCCAGCTCAGCGGAGGCTGCCAGTGTTTGTCTGTGAGCAGGGAGCACAGTGAAAGAAACTGTCCCAGCTACAGCTGTGGCAGACTTAAGTCTGCTTGAAGTTATCATGAAACCAGTGTCACCTGAAGGGAGCCATGTAAAATTCCAGTGGAAACTTCCCTTAATTTTATTTCCCAGTACAAGAACTGGAGGCATTAGATGAAGCCAGTAGAAGCCAGGTCTGAAATAAGAAGAGGGGTTTAGGCGAGCTGTGTAATGCCTTGCCACAGGATGCTGCAGAGGGTAAAAGCCTATAAATGTTCAAGGGGTAACTGGAAAAGTTTATGGGACAGAGATCCATTCAGGGTTACCAAATACTTAGAAACTCCATCTAGATCTGGAAGTTCATGAGCTGCAGCTGGCTGGAAGCTGGGATTAGAAAGCAGCGTAATTCATGCTTCTGTGATCTTATTTTCTATAGGCATCCACTTACAGCCACAGTCAGGCGGAGGACAGTGGGCTCGATGGAGCTTTGGTAAGGCCCAGGACAGCTGCTCTTATGGTCTTTATTTTGAACTTACCCCTAAAATGAGCTGTTCCCTCTTTCCTGGTAGCTTATTATTAGAACTGGGTCACATGAGGCATTTGGGACTGCGTCTCAGCCACGTCGACCGACATTTCTTTCACAGAGAAAGCTCTACGCTGGCAGGCACAGCAATATAGCTTACGTGGGGAAGGCAGTAGCGTTTTCTTTGCACAAGATTCGCCTAGTGCAGACTTTTCGTTTTTGTGGCTGTTCCCTGTTCCATCAGGGACGCAGCGCTGAGCTAATCCGGGGAGGCGTCGAGGCGCATTCTGTATTTAGAGGCAGCCACCTGCTTGGGAACATCAAGCGGCAGCAACGAGCACGCTTCAGCAAAAAATCTCCCCCATGGATTCTGCAGCAGCAGTGGCCAGCCGGCTCTCCCCTGCCTAAATCTACATGTGGCCACCAAAGGGGTCAGCGCCTGAAGAGGTCAGGCCCCATCAGCCCAGGAATGCTCTGAGCCTGGCACTCCCTCTGCCCAGGAACTGCCAGGTATTTTGGACAGCTGCAAGGTGGAATTAAATCACATGGGTGAAGAGTGACCTAATCTCTACATAGGCAATATGTAAGTGTTACTTGAGGCTGAGCTGTTCTGAAGTGCTGGGGAATACAGCACTTGTTAACATATGCTATCCAACTACTTTATTTAGTTAGCGTTGTTAAACTTTGTTGCCTTAAAATAGGTTTAAGATTAGCATGGAAGAAAGCAAAAGGACTATCCGTTAAGGAAAGAAACTACAGAAGAGAATAAAATTAATTAAAAAGAGAGTAAGACTCTCTTTACATTCTTTTATAATTATTCAACATACAGATTTTATAAATGCTGCAACATTTACCTTAAAAAGCACAAGACAGACTCATGATCCTGAGTAGCCTTAAAATAGAACTATGATTGGTTTTTACCTTTTTCAGTTTAATTTTAACTAGAATGGAAATTTTCACATTGAAAATAGTATTCTAATTTTTGCTCTTCATATGGTATGACAACTTGATTTGCAGTTGAAATTTCTGACCAAAAAAATACAGATATTCTGAATGACAGCAGATTTCACTGATTATTTCTCAAATTTGTGCAGATTGTTGTTTCACTCTGGAGCAGGGAGAAAGCATGCAGCCATCTGCATTCAACATGCTTAGTGCCCAGTGTTATGCCAAAACGAGTTCTTTCTACCACCAGCAGGTTGAAAACTTGTTGAAATATCTGGAAATTACAAGTACAATACTTCCTAAATGAGATAAGCAGGAGGAATTAATGATCCTTTGGCTAATTGCCCATTAATTACAGCTAAAAGTGGACATTATTTTAGCTATGAAAAAGCAAAGCCTAGAAGTGAGCTAGATGACACTGGGGAAATAATCTGCATTTACGAAACTTGTTTTTACAAATTGCAGCCTGATCCTAATCTCACCGCATTTCTAATCAGGAGCATGACACCCTGCAGATGAGCCCTATGCACAGCAGGTGGCTGCCCACTGGTAGGCACTGGTGGGCACCCAGAAACACGCTTGTGCTGGTCTGGCCCAGGGTGTGGAAAGGCAGAAGCCAGCACAACACGCAGTACTTCACTGAATTTCTGCTTTGGTGATGAGAGTGGGAAACCAGCCTTTGTCTTTCCAGTTAAACCTCGTAAATATACTTGGAAATTAACTTTTTTACTTTATTAGAACCATCTGGAGAAATAAGGATTTGCAGAATTGAGCCCAACAGGTAGTAAAAGCAAAGATTTACAACTGTATAAAAATCACTGAAATTGTATTGTCTTAACACTGTTATTTGATTTTAGACATTCTTCTAAGTTCAGTTTTAAGATCTCGTTTTAATGCCTGGGAGTATATATGCTTCAAATTATTCTTGCATGGGTTTTTTCAATCACATTCTGTCTCTCGGAAAAAAAAAAAAAAAAAAGAATGGTGGGACAAAAATGTATAAATAACAACAGTGTGTACATGTAGTAGGGAAAAGATGAACTTTGAGAACATTCAGCTAACAGGACCAGAAATGTAAACAGCTTTGTCAATGCAATAGCTGATCACTAATATCGAGCTTAAATACGAGTTGCAGACTGCAATCAGTAAAATGGGAAGTTTGTAAAATGCTACAGATAGAATTTTCTTTATTCTGACAACATTGATAAGATAAATATGAACAACACCTGACAATAAGGTTTCATGGGATCTTCCTGAGGCAGAAAGGGGGAATAGAGAGAGTTTTTGCATTTAGGGCCCAACCCAATACTCAGAGTAACAGAGTATGTTTCTGTTACTGAGCAAACACATCAGCATCAGGACTTCTGCCACAGCTACAATAACCCGAAGCAGTACCATAAATTGTCACTGCTTATTCCTGTGGAACCAATTATGTGCAGTTTCTGAGAAGCTACTTGGAAATTAAAGATCAATCTAGAATTAATACTGTATGTTATAAGAAATATGTCTCCTTATGACTTTATCAGAAATTATGGTCAACCTCTTTAAACAACAAATATGTCTTGTAAAATAAAGTAGCGGTGTCTCACTTCACATGATGTCTTTCATCCTGGAGGACTTTGAAGTGGTCAACAAACTGATTATTAAATATCCGTCTGGCTATCAGCCATTGCTGATACGCAAGGCCAAGGCTAAGACCCTTTTGGTTGAAAGGTAAATATTTTTTAAAGTGCTACATAATAAGCAGCTGAGAGCACAAGATGTAAAATATCCTGCCGAAATCAAACTTCATGCTGATCTTAAGCAGGCAGGTTTATCAACTGGGATTTAGCCAGATTAGCAAGGCTAATACCACTCCAGCAAATAAACATCACACAATTATAGGCTGAAACTAAATGGTTACAGGCTATACTAAAACCTGAGTATGTTCCTTCAACAGACATATTTCAAGCCCATTTATAGGAGGACCTCAGCTACCTCATGAAGTAAATTTTTGTAAGGTGTTTGGGCCAGTAATTTCCAATGCCTTTTCCGTCAACTAGAGCCTGTAACACTTTTTAAATTTGCAGGAAGTTACAGGCAGGAAAGTGTCTTTGCAGAAGCAAAATAACTTGGAATTCTGCATTTTCACATATATCTTGCGTATATTCAGAAATCACAACCTTTTACCTTTCTTTTATTACCTTACTCTTTCTTACACAACATGTCTCAAAGCATGGCGGGCACTGGGCTCTACAGACAGGAACACATTACAAGGCAACAAGATACCCTGTGTTGCTTTTTGTCGTGAGCTTTTGTACATGATTTTCCACAGCTCCATAGCCCATAACAAGGAGGACCTGAAGAGGCTTGGTGTCACCCATGCGCTGAATGCAGCACATTTTGCATGGGGAAGCAAAGGAGACCAAACATCCCATGGCCAGGAAAGGCAGTATTATGGAATACCTGCAGAGGACTTGATCGACTTTCACCTTGGCGCACATTACTGCCTTTGAGTGCATTCACTAGGCCAAACGGTGAGTTCCTCTCCTGGTGGTAAACCACTGCTCTTACACAAGTCTTTTATTAAGCGATCACAAATTACTTTAGCAGCGTTAACTAAACCTCACTCAGACATTTGGGTAAGCCTAATTATCCACTTACAGATATTGTCTCCATTGGCAGGTGGGAAGATAGCAAGATCCTGAGATTAGAGTAACCAAAAAAATTATGTCCAAATCAGTGGTAAGGATCACACATGGTCTACTGGTAATCATCAGAGTGTATCTTCTGTAGCAGGAGAGAAAAAAGAAAAAGCAATTATAAAAGGGAATTATGCTGTATTTTAGTGAGCGGGGAGAAAGTTCTGAGTTCTCATTCGGAAAGCAGTGATTTTTTGTTTTTCTGTATTGATTCATCAGAATACTCAGCACAGAAATTGTTACTTTCTGGTTTGAGAAACAGCCAAAAGCTGCAAAGAGCTATCAGAGACATGCCAATTGGCCACTTACAAAGCCTAATGCCATGTGTTTTCCTCTCTTTCTGGACTCAGATCTCTAGTAACAAAAAGTGGTTCTTGATTTATGAAAGACATGAACGTAATACCCTGGAGGCTACTTTGTCTCAGCTGTCATAAATTGGATGTCTCAGAGATGAGATGAGATGTGAGTGAGGCAGAAGTACAAACTTAAGCAATCTGTGACCATGGCACTATTATGTGCAGCCTGCAACAGCACTACATGTATTCACTTCTATTTTGAAGGGAAAATCTTCGTTCACTCTATTCTTAGAAAAAGCAGGTCTGCTTCCCTTGTGCTGGCTTATTTTATGATCTTCTGTCACTTTCCTCTAGTCAATGCTATCCAAAGAGTTATCCAGTAGCAAGCAGTTCCATTAGGCTGCAGTATTTACATATTGAACTGAGCTATAGTAATACACCTATGTAAACTCTAAACTCTTATAAAATAAAAAGATCGAAGTGACAGCGAGAAACATCAGACAGACAATCTGAATATGAGAAAAAGATGAAAGGAACATGACCTAAAGCTTTGGCATCAAACCTATCTTTCCACTCTGTTTAGGGGGTAGGAGGTTTCTCAATTTCATATGCTCCAGTCACTCCTCAATCATTTGGCTAAATGGAGGCAACAAATGTGTTTGTTGTCCATTCTGCTCATTAAAACTCATAAAATCAACTCCAAGAGAAAACAGGCCCCTGTTTAAACTTCAGGCTCTTAAGGATATCCCTGGACATAAGAAGATGGTAACCTGTTTTGCTGCACTGGGATCAGCAAATAAAAAAGGGAAAAAATGTTGTAGTCCAACACGTATAAGAAGTGACCCAGATGGGGGAGAAGATTTTCCTACCCTGGTGACAACAGATGCTCAATGGCTGCGGACTTCCCAGAGGTACCTTCCTCCCACCACACCCTCTGCCCAGCTTTATGGACCTGAGATTTTCAGCAAATCTAATAAATTTTCAGCCATGAATTAGCCTTCTTTTCATGCCCAGAATTCCGTGTTCCCACAAAAATTCTTTTTACACAAACACAGCTGTGTCTGTAGCACTAGCGAACACAGAAGTAGACAAGTTCTTTAATTTTATGGGAATATTTAGTAAAGGAACTGGTCTTTCAACCCTACTCTGCTTGATCAGAAGATAGTCTTCTCCCAGTACACTGTATTCTGTTAATGTCTCACAAAGGAAAGGGGACTGCAAAGATGAAATAATAATCAGACTTTTGAAATGACTACCTGAATTGGCAAGATAAGCTAGACCACCTTGGGGTAGTTCTCATCTTAGAGCAGGTCCTGGGAAACAAATTATAGTTTTAGACTGAAGTCCTAGACATGCAGAAGTAAAGTACCTAGGGAATGTGGCTGGTCGCAATCCCAGCAGAATTACGTAGCATTTGCCCAGAGCTCATTTGCCACATGCATGCATTTCCGTACGAGGTAGTGCAATGCAACATTGGAACACCAAGATTGGGGCCAAATTAATCCTTGGGGAAACTCCCACCAAAAACCTGTGGTGCAACCCTGGGCTGAATTCGTCCTGTTTCCAAAACGAGAAGTGTGCCAAGGACGGTATGGCCTAAGAGGCACACAGAGTTGGCAGGCTCTCAAGTGTCAAAATAGAACCAGCATCACCGGCCGCATACATCACGTGCTTTGCAGGCGAGAGAGAGACAAGAAAAACAATCAAGTTGTCTGGTGGAAAAAGCAGCTTCCCAGGATCGCTCTAGCCACGGTGTAATTGTGATCAATCCGCACTGGCAAGTACCAGCTTTCCATGTGTGTTTCGCCTAACACAGGCTGCCTGTGGAGAGCAGCTCGGGCAGGCTGATGCATGCTTGTTATCGCCGGCGTAAATATCTCTGCCTTGTGTTATTGTGGCACAAAGCAGCTGGACCATTTGAAAATCATTTAAAAAGCACTATAAAATTAGGGCTCCAGTGCTCTTATTTTATGACTTTCATGAGCAGCATTGCCTAGAGAGAAATTATCCTCTTTATTTTCAAGGCTAAAGGTTCTTTTAACATTCATCAAAATCAAAGTGCACCCTTGATAACACATCGAGCTGTTACTTATCTAGTACAGACTCTTTACCTTCTGCATAATATCACATTTGAGATCTCAGTTCTTCATATACAACTCATTTCATTGTGTCTGCTGTTGTTTTCACCAAGTGAATTTGCATAGTTTCAGGAGAGGCTGGCTGATGCCCTGAAACATATTCTTTCCATAATTCCTAATTTTTTTTTAATTTCTAGAACAATAGCCTGGAGTGGTTTTGCTACTGATCCTCCTATAAAAATGGTCAATTACCTCTTCTGGCAATGGATTTGCACAGACCAATTATGCACTGTAAGCGAAAGATTTTCAAGGGCATAAATAGTACTTAGGTGCATAACCTGACAGACTCCCCTTTCTGCCTTTGAAAATCTGTCCCCCATATATATATATAAAAAAAAGTCTTTGATAATTTTCCTTTTTTTCATTCTTGTTTTCACAGACAACTTCTTTACCAAACTCAGGAAAACGGTGAGTGAAGCAAAGCAGCATGACAAAATGCTAACAGTACAAAGGGAAAGCCATTCTATTTAGAAATAAAATAGTAGTGCAGCTGTACCCACCATACTTAAAGTTCATATCTGAAGGGCTTAGGAAGAGACACTGCATGAAATTCTCAGCCACAGAGGTTGGCCCTGCACATCCTCTGTCCTGCAGCTCAGGGAAACCACTGTTCTCCTCTGTGTTGTTTAACCTGCCTTACGCTTCTGTAAGACACTGGTCACCTTATTATCCAGACATCAAATACCAACTGAGGATAAACATTTAGAAAGTCAGAACCTTAACTCTTGGGTACTCTTTGACCAGGATTTTGTCTTTATTTCCTCGGGGGGTAGCAGGCTGCATTCCTGTGCCAAAAGGTAGCATGCTTTCAGATCACTGCAAGAGGGGATGGTTGGTGCTAACAGATCCCACTGTGAAAACACATGAAGCCACGTAGAGGAGTTGTAAGGTCAAGATGCAGCAGCATTCTGAATGAGGGAGATGTAACTGGCCAGAAGGCAGGCTGTGTGTGTCAGAAGAGAGCCTCACCACCATGCAGCACCTCTGCTAGCAGAGGAAGTTTGAATTTTTAGCCATCAAGGTCTTGCCTGTTGTCACTGAGTTTGTGATTCATCAACAGGATGCTTAAGCTAACAGAGGGATGAGAGGGAGTTATTTGGTAATCACAATTGTTTATAACCATAGGAAGGCAAAAAAAGGGACAGGTGTGGATCAGCAAACCCTAGCAGAGTCTGCTGTCACCACGGATGGAGAAAGTGGGACAGGCATTTAGTAAGTCAGGATAAGAATGCACCTCAGCTCAACGACACGTTTTATTGTTCCAATAGTCAGCAAGTCACTAACAACCTCTTCCTGCGCCTGACAGTCCCAGAAATATAGAAAAGGGCCCAACTGAGCTGATCTAGCTCTGCTCCTGCATTTCAGACCAGATTTGATATTTTGGATCAGGATATTGTGGACAGCTCATTCATAAATGTTGTGGTTTAAACCCAGCTGGCAGCCAAATACCTCACAGCAGCTGGTTCACCCTCCCCCTCCCAGGGGATGGGGGAGAGAGCTGGGGGGTAAAGGGAGACTCCTAGGTTAAGATAAAAACAATTTAATAATTGAAGTAAAAGAAAACAATAACAACAATAGAAAGCAGAAGTGGGTAATGCACAGTGCGATTGCTCACCACTCACTGACTGATACCCAGCCTGTTCCTAGCTAGTGATCCTGAAGAAAGCCAAGATCTTGAAACCACAATCCTGGAACCAAGAGAGAATTCTCTCCTTCCCAGTCAACTCTCCTTTATATACTGAGCATGACATTACATGATATGGAACATTCCACTGGCCAGTTTTGGTCCAGTGCTCTGGCCATGCTCCCTCCCAGCTTCTTGTATACCTGTGCACGGGCAGGACACGGGGAGTTGGAGAGTCCTTGATCTCTTAGCAAGAACTGAAAACATCAGAGTATTATCAACATTCTTCTCATACCAAATCACATACTGAATCCAGAACACAGCACTACTCTAGCTACTAAGAAGAAAAATTAACTCTATCCCAGCTGAAATCAGGACAATAAGACAGGTGGAAAAAGTGCCAAGGCTGGTTAGACCTGAAGGTCTGGCTAGTCAATGATTCTCCATCAGCCCAGAGCACAGTCTAGGGGAAGACTGTGTAAGAAACAGGACAACTTTAGAACAACGCTTCCCCTGCGTATCTTCCAGCTTTTGGCCTTCAACAGATGGCTATTTCCTAAACCTCACGATGCTTTTAATGGCTGCAGACTGGGCAGAGGGGCCGGTCCCAGTACGGAACTCCCTCCCTGCCTCCCTCGCCGCTGCCCCCAGCAAGCAGCCTGCCTGCACCCGCCCCAGCGAGGCTGGCCCGGGCCGGGGGAGGGGGGAGCGCCCGCGGGGGGGTCTGCAGCGTGGCTGCCGCGGCCAGCAGGCTCTGCCCCTCCTCGGACGAACGGCCGAGGCTGCTGCCAAACTCCCTCCGAGCCCCATTCTGACGGGGGCTGAAGGCGTGGGGGGAGCCGCCGCCGTGTCGCGGGGACAGCTTGGGGGGGGGGGGGGGGGGGGGGGGGCAGCACCGCGACCGGGGCTGGGACCCCACCGCCGGGACCCCCGGGCCTGCGCAGTGCTGCCACCTGGAGATAACTCCCACCGGTTAGTAGGCGCCTGGTAATTCTCACTGACGCCCAATAACCCTCGCAAGCTTTCTTCAGCTCTCCTGTCTTTTAGAAGGATGCAAGGGATGCGTCGCTCCAGATGGGGAGGAGGAGTAATGCCTCCGGTTAACGCAGAAGCCCCTAGACAGGCTGACTGCACTTTCCCAACGGATTTCCATTCTCACAGAGAGTTGATTTCTTTAAGAAAAGCATTCAAAGTGAAAGCAGCTGGGGAGAGAGCGTGAACAGCATGGACTCCTCCATCCAAGCCCTCTGAGAGGGGCTCCGTCCTGGCAGTTGGAAATCAGAATCACAGAACAGTTTGGGTTAGGAGGGACCTTAAAGATCATCTAGTTGCAACCCCCCTGCCATGGGCAGGGACACCTTCCACTAGAGCAGGTTGCTCAAAGCCCCGTCCAACCTGACCCTGAACGCTGCCAGGGAGGGGGCAGCCACAGCTTCTCTGGGTACCCTGTGCCAGGGCCTCACCACCCCCACAGTAAAGAATTACTGCCTTATATCTAATCTAAATCTTCCCTTTTTCAGTTTAAAACCGTTACCCCTCATCCTATCCCTACACTCCCTGATAAAGAGTCCCTCCCCATCTTTCCTCTAGGCCCCCTTTAAGTGCTGGAAGGCTGCTAAGAGGTCTTCCCTCTGAAGACCCGTGTAAGCAAAGGGTCAGTTTTTCCCTGGAGAACAGGCAGGAGAGACGGTCGGTCTCTGAGGTGACCACCACCACTAGCCCACCGCCCAGCCCAGCAACTCAGTGCAACAGGTTGTCAGCGCTCAGGGGTGCTCTCCCAGCCGGCATCTGCCCCTCGCACCTCCCTCTCTTCCTCGGAGCCAGAGGAGGGGACGCGTGTGCTCTCTTGGCTCTTTTCCTACCATGACTGGAGGAAGTGGGAAAGGGAAGAGAAACATATTTGGAAAGACAGAGAATAAAAGACTAAAGGGATCACCCTGCTTTTTACTGTGGGTGACTGCATTACGTTCTGGTTTGGGTTGTAGAACAGATGTCGCCAGTGGAGCAAAACCAGGCCAAACTGCACTGTGCATAGGAGAAATGAGCACTGTTACAGGTGTTTCTGATACAGAAAACCTACATGGGAAAGGATATAGTGTAGATAATTTAATTTATACACCCAGGTCAATACCAATTTAATTCACCTAGTACATTTCACGTTTTTCTTCCATCCACCAAGAGTGCAGTTTCTTGTGTATGGGTAACAGCTCCCTTTAAATGCCATTCATGAGTATACTGTGTACTTTTGAATCATTCAAGATTGCTTTCTTCTGCCATCTTCTGGCAAAATGAAAAATCACAGCGTTTCGATAACAGCAGTGTTGCAAGGCAAGGGTTGTCAGTAAGGGTAGTGTATAATTAGATCAGTTGGCATAACTGGAAAAAAATATAGTCCTTCTTGCATATTTAAAAGCTTGCCTATTCTTCCAGCTCTACCAGTTGATCTAGTAGCAGTGGTTCAGTGGTTATCCCAGAGCAAAATGTCAATTTTGTAGACCTTGTTTTTCTTGAATGTCTGTAACAGCAAAGAGAGTTGCTTAACATGTGAGGCTTTAACATTTTATAACAGGACTTCATCAAGTATACCCTAAATATTTTGAAGAGAGTCCTTTTTGCCAGTTTTGCTCTCAGGTCTTCACAGCTCCTTGACAATAGACATCTATGACACCACAGGAAGATCTTGTCTGATAAGCATGTAAAGCTTTTCCTTCTACTGCAACAACTATTTCTGTCTGATCCCTCAACATAAACACCACAAATCATGCCAAAACACCTCGTATTATTTGCTTAATTCTAAAACAAAACATTTTCAGTATTTTGTTAAAAATATCTATGATTTATTTAAGACTAAATTTTGGTTCCTGAGGTTTTGTTTCCCCTTTTCCTGCAATCACACAGAGGTTCATTGTAAATGACTACTTGTGATCCCCACTCTTCCATCACAATAGCTTCTCCCACATAGCTGTGCTAAAAATATGAAAATTATATATGATAATTTAAAAAAAAAAAGAAATCCAAAAGGAGAAAATGTCAATATTTTCCCTTCAAATAAACCCCAAATTCAGAGCCTGTAAGAAAAACTACTCACAAAATTCAGAGCCTGAAAAGAGAACATAAATAAAAGCTGTTCAAAGCTTTGTTCATTTTCACTAGCACCAGCAAAAATGACTGCTTGGGATGCCAGGCATTGGAGAGAAAGGATGTTAATGCTATTTATAGCTCATGGGTGGTTCCCATTACCATTACACCTGAGAAGCTTGCAGTCCTTAATGTATTCCTACTCACACCAACTTTCTCAAGCAGAGGACAGCCTTCCCAGGGCTGTGCTGGAGGCACTGAGGTTTGCTTTGGGAAAATGGACTGTTACATTTGCAGCCTGTTCCCAAACAGTCTATTATAAACTGCCTGCAGCAGGCACAACCTCCTGCAAGGCTGCACTTCTCCCTGCTACCTGTGCTTGACTCTCCCTCTTGGGAGCCATGAGGCTGCTGCTTTGCTGTAGGCTCTTCCTCCTTCCATCACCCTCCTGGCTTTCGCATCGATCTACGGTCCACACCAAGCCCCAGCAGGAAGCGGCATCAGAAAAAAAAAACAGCACAAAATCTGACAAGATAATGGCGAAAAGACCCTGCAAAAACTTTCTGGCACATAACAACACTTGCTCCTGCCCTGCCTGTCCGACTGCAAGGCCCAGGCGGCAGCAGCGTGGTATCTGGGGCGCGGGGCAGCACTGCACTGCCGGCTCCTCGCAGAGCCAGCACAGCAAGGCCTGGCGAGGAAATTC